AATCCTTGATGCCTTTATATCCCATATATCTTCCCAGAAAATTTGTATTCTCTTATTAGCCTGCATTCAAGCTCTGCAAATGGATAGCACTTCTAAGTGAATGTTCCTCACTGGAATTGGCCAGATAAGCTGGTGCTCCTGTCCCACTGCCTCCTAGAAGTGCCGTGGATAATGGATTAAGTAACTGGCCTGGGGCTGGTGCTGTGGCATAGTGGGTAAAGCTGCCGCCTGCAGTGCCGGCATCCCATGTGGGCGCCAGTTCGAGTCCTGGCTGCTCCACTTCCCATCCCACCGTCTGCTGTGGCCTGGGAAAGCAGTGGAGGATGGCCGAGCACTTGGGCCCCTGCATCTGTGTGGGAGACTGTGGGGTAGCTTAGTCCTCCACCTGCAGTGCTGGCATCCCGTATGGGCGCCAGTTCGAGTCCCAGCTGCTGCACTTCCCATCCCGCCGTCTGCTGTGGCCTGGGACAGCAGTGGATGATGGCCAAGCACTTGGGTCCCTGTGCATGAGAGATGTTAGGAAAGTGGCACAGTCTTATCTGTGACGCGATCTACACCCTGACACCATCCTCGGCCCTGGCCCCCGCTGCCATTGCTGGAAGCCAGGTGGCCACAGGGCCCAACCACCAGTGTCAAGCTCCACCCCCATCCCAATGGGATTCGCTGTTCCGACCTCCCTACCCGCCCCCTGGAGAAGGGATATCAGGACCCGTTTCCCGGATGCGCGCTCCCTTTTCTCCTTCCTTGCCCCTTCCCTCCCGTCTGCTGGGTTTTCTCCAAGAAGCCCTTTCCCTCACTCCGGTGTCTGGTGTGTTTCATGGTGGCCTTACAGGAGACCCAGAGAAAGCTCCTGGCTCCTGATCGGTGCAGCTCCGGCTGTTGCGGCCAATTGGGGAGTGAGCCAGTGGATGGAAGACCTCTCTCTGCTGCTCCTTCTCTCTGTGTAACTCTGACTTTCAAGTAAAATAAATAAATCTTAAAAAAAAAAAAAAGTAGTTGGCCTAATTCATTTGTCCGCTATCCAGAAATATTCTTATGTTGATGTAAGGGTGGGAACAATACTCTTTCCAGTGCTCTACATCCGACACAGAACCTAAAAGTCGAATTCTGATGTTAAACCTTCTCTAGTGTTTAAAATTATAAGCATCTTGAGCTGTAAATTTCTTCCTAAGCACTGCTTTCACTTCATCCCACAAATGCTGATAAATTGTGTTTTCTGCATCATTAAGTTGGAAATAATTTCTAAAACCCTTGTAATTTTTTCTTCCATCTATGAGTTATTTAGAAATGAGTTGCTTTATTTCCAAATATGTGAGATTACTCTAGATATGTCATTGCTTTCTCATTTAACCCCTTTGTGACATTTTGAAGTGAGACTTTTTTTTTTTTAACTTGATGCATGGTCTTTTTGACAGCATTTCACGTGCCTTTGGAACGAATGTGCATTCCGCAGTTGTGTGCATTGTTGTATGCATGTCCGTGAGATCAAGTTGTTTACATCTCATAACCTTTTTGAGTTTTTGTCTATTTGATCTATCAGTTACTGAGAGAAATGTTAAAGATGTCTAACTTGGGATGTTTTTCTCCCTTTGATTCTTCCAGTTTTCACTTTTGATTATCATATTGCCTTTACAACAAATTGCTTCTTTTACCACTAAGAGGTTTTTCTTTCATTAGTATTGCACTTTATGTTGTTTCATATTAATATAGGCAATGCCAGCTTTCTTATATGTACTGTTTACGTGATGTAACCCCCCTTTTGTTTTCAGTCTTTCAATGAAATTATATTTAAATTCTGCCCTTTGTAGATAGCAGGAAGTAGGACCTTGCTTTTTATCTAGTGTGGCAGTCTCTGCCATTTAATTGGAATGCTTTGCCAGTTTATCTGTCATGTACATATAGATAATGTCTGGGTTTAATCTCTTATCTTATTGATTGGCCCATTTCAGTTTTGGTTCCTCAGTTGCTCCTCTTTTTAGGAAGGTTAATCAAATACTTTTTAGTATTTCGTTTTAACTGCTATTTATTTTCATACATAAATCACTTTCCTCAACTTTATACTTGTTGTTCTAGGAGTTACAGTAGACATCCTTGACTTCCCATAGTCTATTTAAAATTAATATTGTACCTTTTGTTGTTGCTATTTTTAACAGGTCAATGCCTTTAAATAAATCAAGGGAAGAAAAGATAGTCTTTTATATTAATCACATATTTGCCATTTCTTCTCTTCATCCTTCATGTAGATCTGAATTTCCATCTGGCCTCATTCTTCTTCAACCCAAAAAACTCCCTTTAGCATTTCTTTTCCGATTTCCAGTGTAAATCTGCTGGCAATTAGCTCCTTCAAGTTTTGCTTGTCTAATAACGCACTTACTCCATTTTTGAAGGCTTTCTCACTGGATATAGAATTCCAGATTGACTTTTTTTATTTAAAGAATTGTTCCATTGTCTTGTAGCATATGTTGTCCTTGATGAGAAGTCAGCTGCAATTTATTTAGTTTTTTCTTTATGTGATGTGTCTGTTTCTCAGTAGCTGTGATGTGCCATTGTGATGTGCCTAGATTTGGTCATTTATTTTTTGGTTATATATTTTTCCTCCTTTGGGTTTGCTGAACTTCTTCAATCAATAGGTTAATACAAATAATTCTAAAACATTTGGGAAAATTTCAGTCATTGTTTCTTCACATATTTTTTCCATGCCATTCTTTCTTGCCTGTCCTTTGAAATTCCAATTACACATATGTCAGATTTCTAGCTGTGTCCTACACATCACTGGATATTTTCCATTTTTTTCTTTTTCTGTTCTTTAGTTTGGATGATTTATATGTATTTGTTCAGTTTGCTGATTCTTTCATCAGCTGTAAGCTTTCTTGTTTTCTTTGTTTCCTTTTTTAATATCTTCCAATTATAAATTGACATAATGGACAGCTATCTTTATGATGTGCAGAGTGATGTTGTGATTTTTGAATACTATGTAGAATAATTAAACCTTAGGCCCACCTAATAAATATTTCACTTCAGCTGTTGTATTTTTTATTGCTAGAATTTCTTTAGGTTCTTTTTTATGCTTTCCCTTTCCTTTTTATCAGGTTCTTATCTGTTTTTTCATTATCCCCTTTGCTCTGAGCCTTTCGATCCATTCAGAGTCCTTCTCTGCTAATTCCAGCCTCTGAGTTATCTTGGGGTTTGGTGTCTGTGTGTGTGTGTGTGTTTGTGTGTGCATGCATGGGTTTTCTTCATGTTCCTTATGCAGCTTTCTTCTCTCTTGTTCCACGCCTCACAAGTTTCAAGAGCCCCAAGTAAGAGTGAATCTTACCTCCTCAGCTGCACAAGAATGTCATGCTATTTGTAAGTGTCACATCTGTAGGCAGTATTCCAGAAAAGTACCTCTCTAGAAAGCCCGGCTTGCCTCTGCAGATATTTGTATCCCTATATAAAGTTTATATTTAGCATATATTTATGTTTAAAGTCATGGATCATGAAAGATGTATTGTAGGGAGGTTATATTAAGTTCTAGGAGGCCATTAAGTTGTTGATCATTTTTGCTCCTTTCATGTTTGGTTTTATTTTTTATAAAGGTAAGTCTGTTGTCATTTATCTTTAGTCCTAGGTCACAGCCTTTGCTCTTAGACATGGTCCTTATGCCTTTTTGGAGGCATAGCTGAATGCCTAAGGTGTTCCTTCCACTCTGGATAAGTTGGAATCTCAGATAGCCCAGAACCATATTGTATTAGCTCTGGCGTCTCAGCTGCAGTAATGCTCTCATCCTTTGATTGTGTAATCAGCCCCTCAGCCAAAGGCTGGAGAACCACTGTGTAGACTGGTGAGTCCCTCCCTGTATATGGCCTTTTATTCTGGTGCATTGACTTCCAGACTTCAGCCATCCTAGGAAACAAGTTTGCCTGCTCAGCTCAGCTCAGCTCAGCGCATACTGTCATGCTGTGCTAAGTGCTACTTGCTTACGCTGTAGTTGAGAAGGAACCCCTACACAGAAAGCCAAGGCTAGTGGCTGGCATTGTTGTGACTTTCTGGGTTAAGTTGTTGCCTGTGAAGCTGGCCTCCTGTATGGGCACCAGTTCATGTCCTGGCTGCTGCACTTCCCATCCAGCTCCCTGCAAATGGCCTGGGAAAGCAGAGGAAGATGGCCGAAGTCCTTGGGCACCTGCCCCAAGTGGGAGACCCGGATGAAGCTCCTGGATCCTGGCTTCCACGCGGCCCAGCCCTGGACATTGTGGCCATTTGGGGAGTGAACCAGCAGATGGAAGATCAGTCTTTCTCTCTCTCTCTCTCTGCCATTCAAATAAATAAACAAATCTTTAAAAAAAAAAAAAAAAAGAAGGCCGGCGCCGTGGCTCAATAGGCTAATCCTCCACCTTGCGGCGCCGGCACACCGGGTTCTAGTCCCGGTTGGGGCGCCGGATTCTGTCCCGGTTGCCCCTCTTCCAGGCCAGCTCTCTGCTATGGCCAGGGAGTGCAGTGGAGGATGGCCCAGGTGCTTGGGCCCTGCACCCCATGGGAGACCAGGAAAAGCACCTGGCTCCTGGCTCCTGCCATCGGATCAGCACGGTGCGCCGGCTGCAGCGGCGGCCATTGGAGGGTGAACCAACGGCAAAGGAAGACCTTTCTCTCTCTGTCTCTCTCTCTCACTGTCCACTCTGCCTGTCAAAAAAAAAAAAAAAAGAAATCCAAGGCTACAAGGCTAGATAAACACGGCTCACTTCGTATGTTTTATCTTTTTTCAAAGACCTCACATAGTTCCGTTGTGTGTGTTGTTCTATTGCATGCAAGTAGCTCATATTTGTCCAGTTTTATAGTCATCTACAGTAAAAGGGAAGATTCAGGACCAATTGCTTTTTTTAGACTCTCTTATTTCAACATAAATCTATACAAATCAGGCCAATTATTTTAAAATTTATAATCCTTATGCTTGCATTGTAGCTCTAAACTCTATCCAGAATACTTCAGACATATCTTGCTATCTCTGTGTCTTCTCTCATCAGCTTACAAAGAGCCCTGTTTTGTGTATTCCCGAGTTGGGGGCAACCGGACACCCTTAAAGCAGCCTGTGGACAACTGTGACAACACTTTGCTGTTTGAAGCAAGGTTTGAGAGCGGCAATCTGCAGAAGGTAGTCAAAGTGTAGGTTTCATTGTTTTCATTGGAGGAGCTTAGAACATCAGCTATTATTTTCTGTATTAGGTACATTAGCATTCTTAGTATCCATTACTAAACTGTAATTCCTTGAAGTACAAATGCTATTTAAAATTATGGAGGGGGGGATAATATAAAGGTTCTGAGTTCAAGTAATTTGGGGAATTATGGCTCAAACTGAAACAAATTTCTATACATTTTCAGTATGACAGTATTAACTGTCACACAGTGCTTCTCAAACTTTTTTTTTTTTTTTTTGACAGAGTGGACAGTGAGAGAGAGAGACAGACAGAAAGGTCTTCCTTTTGCCGTTGGTTCACCCTCCAATGGCCACCGCGGCCGGTGTGCTGCGGCCGGCGCATTGCGCTGATCCGAAGGCAGGAGCCAGGTACTTATCCTGGTCTCCCATGGGGTGCAGGGCCCAAGCACTTGGGCCATCCTCCACTGCACTCCCGGGCCATAGCAGAGGGCTGGCCTGGAAGAGGGGCAACCAGGACAGAATCCAGCACCCTGACCGAGACTAGAACCCGGTGTGCCGGCGCCACAAGGCCGTGGCGCCAGCCTCTCAAACTTTTTAATGGAGTAAAATATGTTGAGTGCCCCTTAAAATATTCCAAGGACAATCTTTTAAATATAAGTGTTTATTACGTAAAATTTTAAACATATAGTTAACTACAGAGAATAATACAATCCTATACTAACTACCATATTGAACAGCTATCAGAGTTTTACAACATTTATGTCACCTATTCATGAGCCATTATTTCTAATTATATACAAGCACACACTCAAAGTAGATAATGCTGAATGGGATAAGAAATTATTTGGCAAAGAAAAAGATTAAAACTAATCAGATAAGATTGTTATGTGTAAAATTAATATTCCATTGAAATTACTATTTTTACCTGAATAAATATAAGGAAACAAATAGTTGTCAAACACAGTCCCTGTCCCTAAGAGTTCAAATTTTGTAACCTCTGTGACAATTTATGCTTGTTTTGAACTTCTCTCGGTGATAGTTATTTTATATTCATAGGGTTAGACTCTAATAGAAAATATATGTGTCTGCAGCAAAAAGAGAAAAGAAATGTTGGGCTTTTCTTCTGTTGCAGTAACTCTTTAGTCATTTCTTTTATTCAAGACATACTTGGGGTAAAACATAAATTTGATATCAAATGCCTATATTGTTACTGTGCTGTTGAATTACATAGTAATATAAAGGCATTAGAATTAGGAGAGAAGCAATTTCTCTTCCAATAAGAGTGAGTATATCACACTTTTTCTTTTGAAGTTGTTATTTGATGTTGCCTAAATAAACATTAGTGTCCCAAAAAAGCTTCCTTTTTTCAATTTAATTTTTTTGATATAGCATATTTTTAATTTACTTTATAGTCACAGGCTTAATGGCTCTACTAAATAGATAGTTCAGTAAATAAAAATAAAAAGACCATAGTCCAGCAGAAAATAGGAAAAGACTGTAACATAATCGACTGAAAAGATGCTCAACTTCACTCACACAGAGAAAGTTCTAAAATGCTCACAAGATCATTAAAACTATAGTAGTATGTAATTCCATCAATTTATATAACAAAGATTTAAAACAAAGCCACAAAAACCTTTTTGTGAGTAGGTAAAAATAAAATACTTTTCCTCGTTTAATTTAACAGGATTGTCATTTTGTAGCATTCTTATATGCCTTTTCCTCCCTTTCTTGTGTATTAGGGGAGAATATGAATACCAGTTGGCTGTGCGCCCTGACCTCTTCACAGACAAACACACCCAGTGGTACTATTTCCAAGTCACTAATACCCGAGCAAGAGTAGTCTACAGATTCACTATTGTCAACTTCACCAAGCCTGCTAGCCTTTACAATCGGGGTATGCGCCCACTGTTCTATTCTGAAAAAGAGGCCAAGGCTCATCATATTGGCTGGCAGAGAATAGGAGACCAGATCAAGTACTATAGGAACAATCTGGGCCAAGACGGGCACCACTATTTCTCCCTGACATGGACCTTTCAGTTTCCACACAGCAAAGATACCTGCTATTTCGCTCACTGCTATCCGTACACTTACACTAAGCTACAAGAGTACCTTTCTGACATCAATAACGACCCAGTACAGTCCAAGTTTTGTAAAATACGTGTCTTGTGCCACACGCTTGCTAGGAACATGGTGTATATTTTAACAGTCACCACCCCCTTGAAGAACGCTGACTCAAGAAAGCGAAAGGCTGTGATTCTGACTGCACGGGTCCACCCAGGAGAAACCAACAGCTCTTGGATCATGAAAGGCTTCCTAGATTTTATTTTAGGAAACTCAAGTGATGCACAGTTGCTCCGGGACACTTTCGTCTTCAAGGTGGTACCCATGCTGAATCCAGATGGTGTGATTGTGGGAAATTATCGGTGTTCCTTAGCTGGACAGGACTTAAACCGTAATTACACATCTCTCCTGAAGGAGTCTTTTCCTTCTGTCTGGTATACCCGGAACATGATCCGGAGGTAAAATAAGGCTCAGATCACCTCTCTGCTTATGTAGTAACTTTGGGATTGAGAATTGTGCTCCCGCAGGTCCGCTGACGGTTCTCTTCTCTCTAGATAACTTGTCTTTTCTTTGTCTTCCCCATCTGTCTCAACACTGATTGCATACCCTTCTGGAATTATGCCACTGGATACACCAGCCTCCCTTATGAAACAGACTGCAGAATGTGTTGGTAACTCTCTGAAAGTAATAGTTAAATTTGCATATCTCAAATATGGTTTCTTACTAGAGCTCATGGTAGAATTGACGTTTGCACTGGGATCCTTGAATCCTGGTGTGTGAAAGTTAATTATGTCCCAGCACTGGGTGAATCCCATGTTGTTCTGTGAGTCCCTTGATCATCAGGTTGCATAGTCGTTTAAGCTTTAATGAAGAATAGTCTTATTACCCCTAGAAAAACAGAATAGCTTTAAATCTTGCAAAGAGTCTGGGACAGTAAAATGCACATCGTATTTAATTGTATTTGAATGACTGGGTGAATTCTGTGACAATTCCAAGTAGTAGCCATCAGGAAGAGACGTGTTACAGTGCAAAGACGTATTGGAGACCAGGGACACCCATCACAAGTCCAAGCCTGTTCACCTTTTTGGTTGACAACATGGACTTCAGAGCTAAGCACGTCACACTGCAGTCCCTGTTGTATTATTTACTCAGCATCTGACCTTGTGTCATTTCATGTCATTGCAGTTTTGTCATTTGTAAGACAGAAATAATAATACCTCATAGATGGGAGGATGAAATAGGTAAATTATTACTAACACTCAGATTAGGGTCTTGAACTCTGAAAGCTTTAAATTTATACAGTGTTTCTTAAATGTAAAAAGAAAAAGTGTTAACTGAATCAGACACAGATGTGAAAACTCTTTGTACAGTACTTTGGGTTATTCCAGGGCTACAGTGATAGGTATTGTTACAGAGATGCTGTGTCTCTCCGGCCTGTTCCCGGCATCCTCAGGGCAGCCAGTGTAAGAGCTGTTACGAAGCAGCCAGGGACCCCTGGGTTGCCTCCAGTTCCTCAGAGGAGCTCACAGGTCTTAGAAGTACCTGGCGTGGATCCAGTTGTCAGTCTGTTCAGCCTCCATGTTCACCTTCATATTAACCCCCGTATGTCCTTAGGAAAATAGGGAGTGAAGTCCTGAGACCCACAAGAAGGACTGAAATCCCTGGTTTAATGCTTCTCACAGATGCGGACTCCAGAATATTTGGAGAGTTTCTAAGTGATGTAAGAATAACCTGTGACTTCTCTATTTTCCTGAAGATGCAAGCAATAAGGAGAGAGCTGAATCAATGCAGTATGGCATCCTGGATTGGATTCTAGGATGAAAAAGACCTTAGTAGAAAAACTAGTGAAATCCAAGTGAAGTTGAGAGTTAACGTTAACGTGCCAGTGTTGGTTTCTTCTTTTGTAACAATGTTCCATGGTTAGGTAGTGTGTTAACACTGAGGGAAACTAGGTAAGGCATATATAGCACTCTACTGTTTTTGCAGGTAAGTGGAATACAAGGTTAGTCACGTAAGTGTGGAAAGGTGAGCAGCTGTACATACATGTAAGATTATATTTAAAGTGTAGTAGAGTAAGAGACAGCAGCTCTTAAAGAGACTCAGTATAAAAAACCTTAGAATAGCTTCCTTACCAGTAAGTAAGAAGAAAATTTCAACTGTTTCTAATGTTAATTGTTGTAAAATGAGGTACCCTAATATCTTTTTCTCATTTCAAAAATAATAACATTGGGGAAATTAATTATTTAGAAGTTTCTTTTGAGTTACTTGTAAAAAACAGAAAGATTATTTAAGTTGGGGGAATTGGGAGATATAAAGATATATAGCATAGTTCATACATATTTAAGAACTTGATATTCATGCTGTATAATCTAGTTCGTTTTCTAAAGAGTTAGGCTTATCTAGTGGTCTTATGTAAATCTTATGTTCCCAGTTAGAATTTATTGGGCTCAAATGAGAAAAAGCCAATAGATGAATACATGTAAACAATTTCATTGTAGGATTTCACTGTAGTTTAAAGAAGTATTGTTTCTAATAGAAGCAATGCTTTGAATGTTTTGTTTTAATATTTTTATTATAATTGTAGTGTATTTATACTGTTGTACATCCCATTGCTCCCATTTTGATATTTATGCTTCCACATAAATAAATAGTATATATAATTTTGATTGTTTAAGTGATATACTGATGCTAGTTGAAAATGTTAAAAAAAAAAAAAGGCAGAATTGCCATAATCCTACCATCTCAAAACTGCCACTTTTTTAACCTTTTGAAAGTTTTTTCTCCCAGTTGTTTTTGTCCTTCAGTTGGGGGGGCTAATTTTTAATTGTTTTAATATTTACTGAGTGCTAAGTCATATTGACAAAGGATTGAGCCTCTTAATGAATTATAATAATTCCTTAAAATATTTGTTATAAATTTACCTGAAAAAGTCAAATCAGACTTTATTACCATTTTATCAAAATAATACTTATTCACCACACCAATCAAGAGTTAATTGACTTCAACATCAAGTCATCAGACACTCAGTGTTTAACAAATACTTGGGGAGTGAGGTGCATACCACTGTTGTAGATGATGTGAAGCATTCCACATCCTTAACCAGCATAGATATCAGAGAAAGTGAAAACTTTCCCAAGTAGTGCCAAATAAAGGTTACCAGTATTAAATGCAACAGGAGTTTAAAGAAAACTGTCTATGGGTATGACTAGTTGGAGAAGAAATAAGACATAAGGTCAGTCTTGAAGGGTAGGATGTAATATTTACATGAACAAAATTGAAGAAAAAAATGGCTTCCAGTCAGAATTCATGTGTAAATGTAGTGAACAATTACAGAAGTGAATTGTTCTCTGTGTACAACAGAGAACTGGAATAATGAAGCAGAGAGATCTTTTTGGATAAGGTAAATTTTGTCCATGTAATGGAAGGTTACCATATTCATATATTATATGTAGTTAATAGGAAATTACCATCAATTTCTGGAAAAATATATTATTAAAAATATAGAGTATAAATAAGAGAATTACCTTCAATTTCTTGAAAAAATATTGTTAAATATATACAGTATGGATAAGAGGATGAAACTGAAAGTCAGTATGTATAAGAAATCCTGTTTATTTGGCTATTATATTTGTGAATCTACAGTTGTTTCCATAGAAGAAACATGCAGAGGTCAAAGTTAGTAACTCATATTTTTCTTCTTGGTAGATTGATGGAGAAACGAGAGGTTATTTTATATTGTGATCTTCATGGCCATAGTAGGAAAGAGAATATCTTCATGTATGGCTGTGATGGTAGCGACAGATCTAAAGCATTGTACTTACAGCAGCGAATCTTTCCACTTATGCTGAGCAAAAATTGTCCAGATAAAGTAAGATCTTAACTTTGCCTTTACTAAGTGTTACCCATGTGTACCCGTAGAATGAGTAATTGCTACCCAAGAGACTTTTTTATTTTGTTATTTTTGATGTGGTTTAATACAGTTTTCCATTAAAAAAGTTACATGGAGCTGACCAATTATGTGAAAATATGAAGACAAAAATGCCTGAATCCTACCACCATAAGCCCACCACAGTTTACCTTTCGAAAACGTCCTCTATTTATTGCTGTTTTAATATTTGTAAAGTGTCTAAATTAATACTAGCTAAAGATTTTCCTCTTGAGGAATGTGTAATAACTTATTTATAGTATTTATTAGAATTTTCCCAGGAAAGAAATCAATCTTTATATATAAATTAAAATGATAAATGAATGAAGTATATCTAATTTCTGAGGCTGCGAAACTGTTGGAGGTACTCATTTGCCAAGATATGAAAATTATTGTAATTATTCGTTAATAAAGACTAATATAACAAAGAAAGTATCTATCAACTTTCCCTTAAATTTTCAACCAACCAATCAAATTATAAAGGACTTGCTAAGAAATCCTCATTATCTTCTATCAATAATTAGGTCCCAAAGACATTAAAAGGAAAGAATGATCTGGTAAGAAGAGATATTTGCAGAGAGCATAAGTTCATTTCCCAAATAGGATTTATTTCTTCAGAAAAAAAAAAATCAGGAAAAGTACTTCATACCTATAAATATTCCTATATAAATTTAAACTGTCAGTACTCTTAGGCATAGTTCATTACTCTACAAAGTGATTCTATATTGCTAAGGTATTTTGATATTTGTTTATTGATATATTTCTTAGTGTCACAAATCTGTAACTTGTTCTATGTTAGATGAAATGGACCAATTTCTTAAACTCCATAAACAACAAATTTGCAGTTTAAATAGATCTTTATGATGTAAAAATTGCTTGAAATATATGGGCTTCCATTTCTAGAATTTCTCTTAAATGTTTCTTATTAAATCTCTTTCTGAACACCCATAATTACAGTTAGAAATTTCAAATTCCCCTCTCAGTAATCTGGAACTGATAGATAGACAATAGGCAAGAATATGTAAGAACTGATCAGCATCAACTGGTGGGATTTGATTGACATCATCGGGCGCTCTACTACACAGCATCATACACATTATATTCCAATGCCCATGGAACAGTCATCAATACAGGTCATATTCTGTAGCATTTTCAAAAATAGTGTGATAGCTTCTTATAAAAATAAATGTGCACTTACTATATGATACAGCAATCCTACTCCTAGATGTTTGTCTTAGAGAAATGAAAACTTAAAACCTATGTATAAACCTGTACACATGAACATTCATAGCAACCAAACACTGAAGGCAACTTTGAATGTGCCTAAGTGGTGAACAGATAAACTAGTGCATCCGTACAATGAACTACTGCTCAGCGGTACAAAAGAGTGAATATTAATGCACGCAACAACTGGGATAAATCTCAGAGGTATTAGAATAAGTGAAAGAAGCCAGTCTCAAAAGGTTACATACTATATGATTTCATTTATGTATGTTTATCTTTAAAATGCATATATCTTTAAAAAAAAGCTATAGTGACAGCAAATTAGTGCTTGTAAGAAGTTTGGGGTAGTGTAGGATTGTGACTGCAAAGGCATGGTGTGAGGGAGTTCTTTAGGGATAATGGAACTGTTTAGTATCAAGATTGTGTTGGTGGTTACATAAATCTGTACCTGCATTAAAATGCATAGAATAGAACATCTGAAAGTTTTGTTGTATGTTAATTAAAAAATAAAATTACTTACCCCCTCCCCCGCAAACCTCATGGTAGATACTGATCTCTATAAAAAACAATCTTTCAGGATCTTTCATATGGTCTCACATATGAAAACAAAGACTCTCTGTTTCTGGAGGTCTACAACAGTAAACACCATTCCTAACTATGTTTAAATTCCTTCCTACTATAAGATCGAACTCCAGCAATATCAAGAATAACCGACTGTGAATGTATGTGTTATATAAAGATAAAAATTAAATTGTATTGCAGGAATTAGAATATATAGCTCTCAGAAAAGTAAATGTATCATCCTTAAGATGAGTTCCTTCCATTGGTCAAGAAATACAAGTGGCTCCTGAAGCTTTAGTGAGAATTACAGATTTCGCTCAACTACCATTGTGTTTTCAACCCTGCTTCCTAAGAAAGATAAAGGTGCCAAAAATAATGGGTTTCATTATTATTTGTTGCTTTCCAGTTTTCATTCTCAGCTTGCAAGTTCAGTGTTCAGAAGAGCAAAGAAGGAACAGGAAGGGTGGTGATGTGGAAAATGGGAATTAGGAACAGCTTTACCATGGAGGCCACCTTTTGTGGCTCTACTCTGGGTAAGAGCAAACGTTCTCATTCATGACTCTCAGAGCTCTAAGCCAAGGAGGTATTTGCATGTGAAATATAATAGTCTAGACAATTTGGTAGGGAGCACCTTCTTCCCAGTTCAATACGTACCATTTAATCACTTCTGTAAGATGGATAAACTCCCACTTTGTGTTGTCTCTATTCCATCATCTCTCATCGTTTAGAAAAGGGAGTTTTTTTAGCATGTAGACAGAATACTCTCTAATTTGTGTTTTATTAACTACTCTTGAAAGCTTATTTTTGTTTTGTGTTTTTTAAAGGGAATTCTACAAATTTTTAAAAACTGAATGTTCTTGATAATTTCAAGAAAAAAATCAACTCACATGCTTAAAATATCACCATAGAAATATTTTATAGATTTGTTATCTACAGAGAAAGATACACTGGCATTTTTTCGTGGTGGGAGGAATCTGTTTATATTTAGATGTGCAAGTACTTGGTTCCCTGAACTAAAAATAGAAGTGTGCTTCGTAATGCTATTTTTTTTTTTTTGACAGGCAGAGTGGACAGTGAGAGAGAGAGAGACAGAGAGAAAGGTCTTCCTTTGCCGTTGGTTCACCCTCCAATGGCCGCCGCCGCAAGCGCGCTGCGGCCAGCGCACTGCCGCTGATCCGGAAGGCTTTTCCTGGTCTCACATGGGTGCAGGGCCAAGCACCTGGCCATCCTCCACTGCACTCCCTGGCCACAGCAGAGAGCTGGCCTGGAAGAGGGCAACTGGGACAGAATCCGGCACCCCAACCAGGACTAGAACCCAGTGTGCCGGCGCCGCAAGGCAGAGGATTAGCCTAGTGAGCCGTGGCGCCGGCCTCCCAGGTGACTTCTTAACTGCTGCAGCAAATGCCTGCCCTTTGTGAGCACTTTGAGCGTACACTGACCAAGCTGAAGACACTTTGTAGAGAATAAGGAGACACCCGATAGCAACCGGGACAGAATCCAGCACCCCGAACAGGACTAGAACCCGGTGTGCCGGCGCCGCAAGGCGGAGGATTAGCCTAGTGAGCCACAGCACCGGCCTTGTAATGCTACTTTAAAAATCTTTTAGTCACATCTAACATTCTAATGTAGTTCTCATATCCCATATTAAGGTAGTTCTCATCTTGTCAGAAAATGCATCAGCTCAGCAGCCTACACTGTGGCCAGCAGGTTAAGGGACTGCCTACGGCTGCTCTGCTTCCATTCCAGCTCCCTGCTTGTGCACCTGGGAAGGCAGCAGAGGATGGTTCAGGTGCTCGGGCCCCTGCACCCATGTGGGATACCTGAATGAAGCTCCTGGCTCCTGGCATTGGTCCAGCCGAGCTCTGGGTGTAGTGGCCTTCTGGGGGTGTGGGCCAGTAGATGGAAGAGATCCCTCTCCCTGTCTCTCTCTCTCTCTCTAACTCTGCCTTTCAATAAATAAATAAAATTTTTAAAAAATAAAATGTATCAACTCAAAAGAAAGCATTTGAAATCCACATGTATAATTTCCAGCTAGTTTTTAATGTACCTTAAAATTAATATAGTGTTATGGAAGATGAAAATATTTTTCCTCTAAAATCGTAACCTGTTTTTTTTTTCAGTAATTATTAGAACTGTTTATAACTGATAACCAAATATTCCTTAACTGTCTTACTGAATTCCTTCTTCCTTGGAGCATAGACCAGTGTGTATTAAGTCAGGTTTGTTCTGAGAGGTGGAGAAGTAACAGAGAAAGCAAGCAGGAAGCTGTTGATTGTCCTGCCCAGCAAAGAGAATCCAAAGTGGAGGTTGGGGAACCTGTCGGTGTTTCATTTACACTCTGTTTGTAACTTAGGCCTACCTGCTGAGGAAGACGACTAGGTCATCCTCAAGGATGCATAAACTTATTGATTTGTAGGTAAAAAACGAGGCACTCATTTCAACATAAAAGACCTGGAGTCAATGGGATACCATTTTTGTGATTCTCTCTTGGACTATTGTGATCCTGACCGGACCAAGGTAAACCAATCCATGTGGTAATAGAGCAGACCCCAGCCCATCGGACAACCTGCCTGTGACTATGACAGTTATTTTCTTTTTAATATTCCAGCAAGGTTCTGGGGCTTGGGATACTTAATGTCAAAATAATTATTATTCTGTTCATCTATAAATATTTAATTAGTTCAATTAGGAAATGAAATCATTTTATAATGAACTAATTTATAATTTTCCCCTAGTATTATCAGTGCCTGAAAGAATTAGAAGAAATGGCAAAACATACTCATATAAACGTGGAAAAAGCCTTTGAGGATTCATATACTTCTCTGATAGAAATCACAATGGATCCAGAGACTAGGTAAGTCAAGACTAGAGAAGTAATCAATTTGTTACACTGTTTTACTATGTTTCTTATAATAACATTAGGATACTACTGGAGATTCTCAACTGAAAATTTCAACTATGAGTAGGGGAGATTTTTCCCATGCATCCTATCAGGACCTCATCAAGACTTCATTTGATTGATTGATTTTTTAAATGTTTTAAAAAGTTTTTTTTTTTTAATTTATTTGAGAGAGTTACAGAGAAAGAGGGGGAGACACACACAGAGAGATCTTCCATCCACTGGTTCACCCCAAAGATGGCTTCAACTGGGCCAGGCCAAAGGTAGGAGCCAGGAACTTCTTCCAGGTCTCCCATGTGGGTAGCAGGTGCCCAGGCACTTGGGCCATCTTTGGCTGCTTTTCCCACTGTAGACTGCAGCTTTACCCACTGCGCCATAATGCCAGCCCCTTGATTTACTTTTTATTCAAGTAATATGAGCATCACTATTTGTAGTATATGAAAGACATGCCAAATTGTTTGCCGTTTGATCCCTCCCTCCCTCTCTCTCTCTTTCTCTCTCTCTCTCTCAGTACTTTCTTTTTTAGAGTAATTTAGATCCACAACACAGAGACTTCCCATGTAGCCCTTATCCACCCACATGCTTTGCTTTCCCCATTATGAAGATCCCTCCCCTTCCTCCCCTCTCCCCGGAGTGATCTGTTTCTTACACTTGCTGAGTTTACATTAACACATCATTATCACCCAAAGTCCGTAGTCTGCTTTAGGCCTCACTGTTGGTGTCAAGCATTCTGTGGGTTTGGACGAATTGATAATGGCATATATCCACCATCATAGTGCCATTCAGAGAATGTTTACTGTATGGAGTTCTGCTAAGAAACCTGAGGTCAAGAGTCAGTTATAAACTTTGCCCTACTTTAGTTTTGTGTTAGCAAAATAGCTTTTTTTTTTTTTTTGCCTATACATATGTGCTGTAGAATTAGTTTGTCAATATACAAAACATAAATTTCTGGGATTTTGATTGTGATTTAATTGAATCAAAAATATTGGGAAGAATTTATACCTTGAAACTTCTAAAATTTATTATTATTTGTTTGAAAGGCAGACGGGGAGGGAGGGGGGAGAGAGGGAGAGAGGGAGAGAAGAAGAGAGAAAGAGAGAGAGACAGACACTCCCATTCCACATTCATTAGTTCACTCTCCACATGTCCACAACAGCCTGGGCTGGGCCAGACCACAGCCAGAAGTTGGGAACTCAATATAGGTTTTCCACGTGGATGGCAGGGATACAACTCCTTGAGCCATCACTTGCTGCCTCCTTGAGTGTACATTATTAACAGGAAGCTGGAATCAGAGTGGAACTTGGCCTTGAACCCAGGCACTCTGATATGGGATGTATGTGTCTCAAGCACTGTGCCAAATGCACGTAAGGTGAACAAATTTCATGTATTCCAATATACAGATTTAGGAACATAGTGATGCTTTCTACCCTACCCACCCCTGCTCCCACCCTCCCTCCTCTTGCCTTTCTATTTCTTTCTTTTAATTTTTTTAATTTTTACAATGACATACTTTCACTTTATTTTATAATCATAAGCTTAACCCTCCACTAAGAACTCAACAGATAGTAAGAAGAGAAAAACACTATTCTTCAACAGTAGAGACAAGGACTGTAAACAATAATCAGATCTCAAAATGTCGATTTTGCTCACATACATTACATTTTTTGTACCACATTTTTTAGTTACCACAGATCAGGGAAAACATATGATATTTGTCTTTTTGGGGCTGACTATTTCACTAAGTATAATGGTTTCCAGTTGCATCCATTTTGTTGCAAAATACAGGATTTCATTTTTTAGGGCTGAGTAGTACTCCATAGTGTATATATACCATAGTTCCTTTATCGTGTCATCAGTGATGGTCATCTGGGTCGACTCCATATCTTATCTATTGTGAATTGAGCTGCAGTAAACATGGGGGTACAGGTAACTCTCTAATTTGCTAACTTATTTTGTTTGAGTAAATTCCTAGTTGAAATCTTAAATGTTTATTGAAACATTCTGAAATTAAAAAAAAAAAAAGTTATTTCTTCTTTTTTTGTTGTTTTTACAGCAGCCAAGGCTCTGATAGTTCCGAATCCGACTCTCAGAATTATCTTCTCAAGTTAACTTCTCAGGTATGATCAAAAACTTTTGCTTATAACATGGATATGGTATTTATTGTAATTAACAAATCAGGCAGAAACAGAGTTTGCAGTCACCAAACCAAAAACTATTCTGGAATTCTATTGGGCAAATGTGTGATGTCTACTATATTGAGAATTGGGAAATATTTTTTGATTAGGCCCAGCTATGCTTTCCCTAAAAATAGCTCCTCCAGCCTTTTTTTTTTTTTTTTTTTCTGTATGGCTTCTGGTCCCGCTCTTTGAAAGTTCATTCCTTTTCTATTATTTCCCTGGTCATTTAAACATTAGTTTTTTTGTTTGTTTGTTTTTTGTTTTTTGTTTTTTGTTTTTTGTTTTTTTTTTTTTTTTTTTTTTCGACAGGCAGAGTGGACAGTGAGAGAGAGAGACAAGAGAAGAATGGTCTTCCTTTTGCCGTTGGTTCACCCTCCAATGGCCGCCGCGGCCGGCGCGCTGCGGCCGGCGCAACCGCGCTGATCCGAAGGCAGGAAGCAAGGGAGCCAGGTGCTTTTTCCTGGTCTTCCATGGGGTGGGAGGGCCCACTTGGGCATCCTCCACTGCACTCCCTGGCCACAGCAGAGGGTGGCTGGAAGAGGGGCAACCGGGACAGAATCCGGTGCCCCAACCGGGACTAGAACCCGGTGTGCCGGCGCCGCTAGGCGGAGGATTAGCCTAGTGAGCCGCGGCGCCGGCCTTAAACATTAGTTTTAACATTTTTAATAGGAAATATATGGATAGGCAAATGGGTCACAGGGAAACCTGCCTCCCACGAAGCTCTCCAGCTCCCGAGTCCCATTCCCGGGTGCAGCCCTGTGATCAGTCTTTTCCCCTCAAGCCCTTCAGGGATGAGGCTCTGCAAATATAGGTACAAGTCTTGTCCCCGTTTTTTTTTAAATCAGCCCTTCATTTTGATATAATTTTAATCTACAGAAAAGTTGCAAAGGTAGTACATAGTGTTCCTGGGTATCATTCACCCAGTTTCACTGACCATTTCTCAAGAGAGCTTTGATTATATAAGGGTACTTCAAAATGTTGGTAGGAAAAATGGAATTAAAAATTTAATTTTGGTGCAAAAAACGTTGAAATCCCTGCACTGATTTTCCACAGCTCATATTTTCTACAAGCTTCTTGAAGACCTCTTGTAGGTTCTTCTTTGTGGCTAAGCATCTTTCTGAGCCTGCTTCCTACCATAGAACTACCACAGTCCCTTTGAAATCAGGCTAACAATATTTTTGCCACCGTGGGTCTTACAAAAACTAAGTTTTGTATGTATTTGATTCCAGACAACCTCATATGTCAAAACCACTCTCAAAATTCTTTTTTTTGTATATGATCAGATAGATAGATAATCCATACATACAAATTTATGTGATGATACTTCAGAATGTTCATGGAAAATGGATTTAAAGGAGTTTGTTTTGGTGCAAAAAAATTGAAATCTATGCATAGTTTATTCATAATACACATTTTTCATGAACTTCCTGAAGACCCCTCATAGGCATGGATCTCAGGTTTTTTGCACTAAAATAAACATACCTTTTAATTCCATTTTACTATGACTATTTTTTTAACTTTTATTTAGTAAATATAAATTTCCAAAGTACAGTTTATGGATTACAATGGCTTTTTCCCCCCCATAACTTCCCTCCCACATGCACCCCCCCATCTCCCGCTCCCTCTCCCATTCCATTCACATGAAGATTCATTTTCAATTATCTTTATACACAGAAGATCAATTTAGTATATATTAAGTAAAGATTTCATCAGTTTGCACTCACACAGAACATAAAGTGTAAAATACTGTTTGAGTACTAGTTATAGCATTAATTCACATTGGACAACACATTAAGGACAGAGATCCTACATGAGGAGTAAGTACACAGTGACTCCTGTTGTTGACTTAACAATTTGACACTCTTATTTATGGCGTCAGTAATCTCCCTAGGCTCTAGTCATGAGTTGCCAAGGCTATGGAAGCCTTTTGAGTTCGCCAACTTCGATCTTATTTAGACAAGGTCATAGTCAAAGTGGAAGTTCTCTCCTCCCTTCAGAGAAAGGTACCTCCTTCTTTGATGGCCTGTTCTTTCTACTGCGATCTCACTCACAGAGATCTTTCATTTAGGTTTGGTTTTTTTTGTTTTTTGTTTTTTTTTTCCAGAGTGTCTTGACTTTCCATGCCTAAAATACTCTCACAGGCTCTTCAGCCAGTTCCGAATGCCTTAAGGGCTGATTCTGAGGCCAGAGTGCTATTTAGGACATCTGCCATTCTAGGAGTCTGCTGTGTATCCCTCTTCCCATGTTGGATTGTTCTCTCCCTTTTTGATTCTATCAGTTAGTATTAACAGACACTAGTCTTGTTTGTGTGATCCCTTTGACTCTTAGACCTATCAGTATGATCAATTGTGAACTGAAATTGATCACTTGGACTAGTGAGATGGCATTGGTACATGCCACCTTGATGGGATTGTATTGGAATCCCCTGGCACATTTCTAACTCCACCATCTGGGGAAAGTCAGCTTGAGCATGTCCCAAATTGTACATCTCCTCCCTCTCTTATTCCCACTCTTATATTTAACAGGGATCACTTTTCAGTTCAATTTAAACACCTAAGAATAATTGTGTGCTAATTACAGAGTTCAACCAATAGTATTAACTAGAACAAAAAATTACTAAAAGGGATAAAGTATTAAATTGTACATCAACAGTCAGGACAAGACTATTTTGAGCTGTCTTCATACATACTTTGATGAGACCACATTTCTAAGAGCCCCAGGTTTTAACAAAGGAGGTGTGTCAATTTTCTGTTATTGAGTACTCCAGACTTAGGCAGCTTGAGCCACGTTTAGCAGCACGTAGTGTCTGTGAGTCATGAATCCAGGAGTGGCTTAGCTGCGTATTTCTGGCTGAGGCTCTCATAAGGCTGTCATGAAAGTGCTGGCCAGGCCAGGGTCTCATCTGAAGGCTTGGCTGAGGGCGGATATCCTTGCAGAACTCTCACTAGGTTGTTTACAGAATTCACTTCCTCAAAGGCTTCCAGTTCCTTTCTGGCCCTGGACCAAAGATCTTCAGTTTCTTGCAATGTGGGCTTCTCCTAAATTAGCCTATGACATAGCGCCTGGTTGCCATCAGCGTGAATAAGTGAGAGCTAAAAAGGCTGCATGGGATGGAAGCCGCAGGCAATTTGTTACTTAACCTTAGGGGCAGAGTTCCATCCCCTTTTCCATATTCCATTCATTCAAAGTGATTCAGTAGGTTCAGCCTGTAGTCAAGAGGATTAACAAGGGCACGAATACAAAGAGAAGAGGGAGCATTCTAGGCCACCCTAGAGATGCAGAAGTCATAAACACAGATGTAAAAGTCATAACCTTGATTTGACCCCTGTCTTACAGGTATTAGAAGTTTGACCTGTTTTTCCCCTCAGTTCTTTCATTCAATTCTTTTTGAAGTTCATTTCTTCTAGTATCTTCCAAATGGAACCTGCAATAACCAGTTCATACTCGATAAACATTCTACCTCAAAATCTTTTCTGTTCAGTGACTCTAAGGTGTTGGATGTTTCCTGTCTTTAAAACGATACTAGAGACAGTTTTACTAAGTGTACCACCTTTACATAAATTCATGTCACCATTTTCCACTTATTTTTAATTGACAAGTAAAAGTCATATATACTATACAATTTTTATAATGCATATGCATTGTGGAATGTCAATATTGTGCTAATTAGTATATGCATTACTTCACATACTTAAAATTTTTAGTGGGAAGAACACTTACAATCTGTTCAGCAATTTTCAAGAACATCATTCATTTTTAGTAACTGTAGTCACTATGTTGTACAATAGATCAATTGAGTTTATGCCTCCTATCTTATTGAAATTTCATATGGTTTGACCAAGAGCTCTCCAACCACACCCCACCTCTCAGGCCCTGAAACCACCATTGCACCACTCTATTCTCTGCTTTGTAAGTTTGACTTTTTTTTTTTTCCTAGTCTGCATATAAGTGAGATCATGTAGTATTTGTATTTCTGTGCCTGGCTTCTTTCACTTAATACAACGTCTTCTGACTTCATTTGTCACAAAGGAAAAAATTTCCTTCTTTTTTAAGACTGAATAACATTCCATAGCTCATGTTTTCTTTATCCACTGGTCTGTGGATGGACATTTAAGTTGATTTTATATCTTGGCAGCTGTGAATGATGCTGCGGTGAACAGGGAAGCCCAGATATCTCTTTGACATGATGATTTCATTTCCTTTGATTATATACCCAGTAGTGGGATTACTAGAGCATATGATAACTTTGTGTTTAATATTTTCATGAGTCTCTGTACTGTTTTACATTATAACTTACTAATTTACATTCCCACCATCAGCAGAAGGGTTCTCTTTCCCTACCTCCTCTTCAACACTTCTCTTTCATCTTTTTGATAAGTCATTCTAACAGGTATGAGCTGATATATACTTGTGGCTTTAATTTGCATTTTTTGATGATTAGTGATGTTGAATATTTTTCAAAGATTTGTGGTCTGTTTTTATGTATTCTACTGAAAAATATCTATTCACATCCTATGTTAATTTTTTTTCATTTATGTGAAAGGCAGAGACAGAGAGAGATCTTCCGTCTGTAGTTCATTCTCCAAATACCTACATCCGCCAAGGCTGGGCTAGGCCACAGCTAGAGACTGGAATGCAGTCTGGGTCTCCCATATGGGTGGCTGTGACCCAAGTATTTGACCCGTCACCTGCAGCATCCCAGGGCATGCATTAGCAGGAAGTGGTTTAGAAGCAGAGGTGCAGCTTAACCCCAGGCTCTCTCATATAGGATGCAGGTTTCCCAAGCAGAATCTAACTAAGCATTGTGCCACACACCTACCTCTGTTTCATTACTAGTGAGTTCCTGATGCATTTTGGATATTAAACCCTCTGGTTTGAAAAAATTCCACCCTTTCCGTAGGTTCTCTCTTCTCTTTGTTGATTATTTCCTTGGCTGTGGCAGAAGTTTTTTATTTGATATAATTCCATTTCTCTGTTCTGGCTTTTGCTGCCTATGCTTTTGGGTTCATAAAAAAAAATTAAAAAACACATCGCCCAGAACAAGTCATGGAGTTTTTCCCCCACATTTGCTTCTAGTGGTTTTGTAGTTCCAGGTTTTATGATTCATCAATTTTAAGTTGATTTTTATATATGGTATAAGGTTTTTGTTTTGTTTTGTTTTTGGACAGGCAGAGTGGACAGTGAGAGAGAGAGACAGAGAGAAAGGTCTTCCTTTGCCATTGGTTCACCCTCCAATGGCCGCCGCGGCCGGCACACCGCACTGATCCGATGGCAGGAGCCAGGTGCTTCTCCTGGTCTCCCATGGGGTGCAGGGCCCAAGCACTTGGGCCATCCTCCACTGCCTTCCTCGGCCACAGCAGAGAGCTGACCTGGAAGAGGGGCAACCGGGACAGAATCCGGTGCCCCGACCGGGACTAGAACCTGGTGTGCCGGCGCCGCAAGGCGGAGGATTAGCCTAGTGAGCCGCAGCACCGGCCTGGTATAAGGTTTTAACTTTATGCTTTTGCCTCTGGATTTCTAGATGTCAGAGTACAGCCTATTGAAGAGACTGTCCACACATCGCGTGTTCCTAGTGCTGCTGAGCCACAGTGCCCACCCAGCACCTTTGTTGACCACGAACATGTGGATTTGTTTCTGGGCACTCTGTCCTATTCCACTGATCCCCATGTCCGGTTTTATGCTAGCACCATACCGTTTTAATTACTATAGCTTTGTCTATAATTTGAAGTAAAGTAGTGTGATGCTTCCAGTTTTGTTCATTTTGCTTGATTGTTTGATCTATTCAGGCAGTTCCATGAGAATTTGAGGACTGTTCTTCTGTTTCTGCGAAAAATGCAATTGGGATTTTGATAGTGATTACATTGAATATGTATATTGTGTTGGGTAGCGTGGACATTTTAACATTAATTCTTCTGATCCATGAACAAAATATCTTGTGTCATTTATTATGTTTTCTTCCATTTTTTTTTCAATAATGTTTTATGGCTTTCAGTGTACATGTCTTTCACTTCCTTAGCTAAATATATGCCTAAGTGTTCGGGAGTGGAGGTTTGGTTTTTCGGTTTTTTGTTTTTTTGTTTTTTTTTTTTTTTTTTTTTTTTTTTTTTTTTTTTTATAGCTATTATCAATGGGATTTTTTTCTTGATTCCTTTTTCAGATAGTCCATTGTTAGTGTATAGAAATACTGCTGATTTTTGTATGCTGATTTTGTGTTCTGCAGCTTTAATGAATTCATTCATAATTGCAACCATTTTATATAGAGTCTGTAGGGTTCTATATACCAGGCGGATTAAAAATTCTACAGAAGGTACTGGTGTTGTGGTGTAGCAGGTTAAGCCATCACCTGTGACACCGGCATCCCACATGGCACCAGTTCAAGTCCTGGCTGCTCTGCTTCCAGTCCCATTCCTTGCTAATGTGCCTGGGAAAGCAGCTTAGGATGGCCCACATACTTGGGCCACTGCACCCACGTGGGAGGCCTAGATAGAGTTTCAAGATCCTGGCTTCCGCCTGGTCCATCCCTGGTTATTGCAGCCATTTGGGGAGTGACCCAGCAGATGGAAGATTTTTCTCTCTCTGTCTCTCCTTCTCTGTCTGTAACTCTGCCTTTCAAATAAATAAATCTTTTTAAAAATGCTATGGAAAGTGCATTATCATTTTAAAATTTTAATCTGGTTATTTTTATTTATTTGAAAGGGAGGCAAAGCAAGCGAGCTAGATTCAGAGATCTTCCATCTGCTGGTTCACTCTTCAGATGCCTGTAACAGCCTGGGTTAGGCCATGCCAAAGGCAGGAGCCAAGAACTCAAGCATGATCTCCCATGTGGTGGCAGAAACACAGTTGCTAAGCCATCCCTGCTGCCCTGCAGGGCACATTGGCAGGGAGCTAGAATCAGGAGTGGAGCTGGGACTTGAATTCAGGCACTCGGATATGGGATGAGGGCATCCCAAGTGACATCTTAAGTGCTGTATCCTATGTTCTCCCTGCATTATCTTTTAGCTCCATTTTTACACAAACTCTCTGAACTACCCTCTTATAAAATCATGTTGTCTGCAAACTGGGGCAGTTTAACTTCATCGTTTCCAGTTTAGATATCTTTTAATTCCTTTTCATGCCTAATTGCCCTTGCGAGAACTTCCAGTACTGTGTTCATCAGAAATGGAAGAATGGGCATCCTCGCCTTTTTCCTTAGAGGGAAGGCTTTCAGTTTTTTACCTTTAACTGTGCTGATGGCTGTGAGACTTTTATTTATGGCATTTATTATGTTCAGTTAGTTTCTTCTCCTATTTGTGGAGAATTTTTATTATGAAAGGATGTTGAATTTTGTCACCTGCTGTTTATGTATCTATTGAGATGGTCATGTGATTGTTGCCCTTCATTCTGTTAATGTGGAGTATCACATTTATAGATTTACGTATGTTGAGCCATCCTTGCCTTATTGGGATAAATGCCACTTGATCATAGTAAATGATTATTATTTAATGTGCTGTCGAATTCTGGTTTGCTAGTATTTTGTTGTATTTCTCCATGTGTATTGAACAGGGATATTGGCCTGCAGTTCTTGCTTCTTACTCTGTCCTTGCCTGGATTTGGTATGAGTGTATTTCTGGTCTCATGAAATGATTTGGGAAGTATTCTCCCTTTTTTAGTTTTTTGGAAGAATTTGAGAAGAAGGATATTAATTCTTTTAATGTTTAGTAGAATTCAGCAATGAAGTCATTAGGTCCTGGTTTTTGTTTCGATCTCCTTACTTTTTGTTGGTCTGTTTTGATTTTCTCTTTCTTCAAAATTCAATCTTGGTAGGTCGTTTGTATCTAGAACTTTGCACACTTCTCCTATATTATCCAGTTTGTTGGCATATAATTATTCTTAGTAGTCCATATGATCTTTGTGTTTACTTGGTATCCATTATAATGTCTCCTCTTTTATTTATGGTTATATCTATTTAATCATCTTTTTTTTTCCTTAGACTAGGAAAGGTTTGTAGATTTTGTTAATCTTTTCAAAACACCATCTCCTCATTTCATTGATCTTTTCTATTGTTTTTCTAGTCTCTAGTTCACTTATTTCTGCTCTGCTATTTATTATTTATTATTTTCTTCCTTCTGCTATCTTTTGGTTCATTTGTTGTTTTCTTAATTCCTTGAGGTGTAACATTCGGTGGTACATTCAAATCTCCCTTTTGATGTAGGTGTCTATTGCTATAAGCATCCCTCTTCGGACTGCTTCATTCCATATAAGTTTTGTTATGTTGTATTTCCATTTTTGTTTGGAATATTTTAAGTATCTTTTTAAATTTCCTATTGACTCATTATTTGTTCGGGAGCTTGTTTGATTTCCATATATTTATGAATGTGTTACTGTTTATTCTATATTATCCAGTCACAAAGCCAATGACTGTCACATAGTATGTTTTTATTAGGACAGTGTCCCGCTTCTAGGTATCAATTTTTGTGATGTAAATATTGTACTACATAAAAATGTTCTTAGTATCTCAGCAAACTTTTATTTTATTGTTACCGTTCCTAGATCTGCAGGCCAGCTGGCCATAGCTCCAGATTGTGAATTGGGTTTAGATCTATTCCACCTTTCTTCCTTGCCCCAGACCAGTCGCTGGCTAAGGCATGTTCTGCTCATGGATGATGACAGGAGTTCAACTAGGAAGGCCACACCATGCAAATATGGTTAGAGCCTCTGTTCAATGTTCCACTGGCCAGATGAAGTCATATTTCCAATCTAACACGAATGGAGTGGGACAGCATAATTCTGCACTAGTTGGGGAGTAGAATTTAGAAGCAATCCAGGGATATATTTTCTAAAGTTAGTAGAACTAAAAATGCAAAGGCCCTGAGGAAGGAAAATGTTTCTCATTTTCTAGGATGACCAAGGCGTGTAAGCCTGAACAAAGAGATTGGTGATAGAGTTGAAACCCCATAGGTATCTGTCAGGAGTGGAGAGAACAGATCATGTAAAGTCCTGTAGGCTCAGACCTCCATTTTTGCTCTGAGTTTGGAGAATTCTGAGCAGGGGAGTGAGATGATCTGCTTTATGTATTAGCAGGATCACTTTGGCTTTTGAGTTGAGAGTAGAATGACAGAATACAAGAGAGACCAGTTAGAGGCTCTTAGAATAATCCAGGCAAGATAAAGTGGTGGCTGAACAAGGGTGATACTAGTCGAGGGACTAAGAAATAGGTTTTGTACGTATTTTAAAGTTAGAGATAACAGAGTTTGCTGATGATGTGTGTGCAGTGTTGAGAAACTGAAGGAAGAGAACTTTGGTTCTGAACAACTAGTTATGAGCAGTTCTGCTTACTGATGTGGGAACCATGGCATAATAGTCCATGTCCAGAGCCAGTCCGCCTCTCGTTTCCACCCTTTAGAGCATCTTAGGTTTGCTTTTTATGCATTATCTAGAGGTTTTAGCCGTGCTTAGAGGAATAGGGAGGTACTTCCCCAGCTTCTTCAGACTGTGAATCTCAAGAAAGTTTTGTCTGCATGCATATTGTCTTGTATTTATGGATTGAACACTGATGTTAAGTGATTCTTTTCCTAGGTAAAAAATAAGAAAAAGTATCTGAAAGCAAAGAAGGAGAGGAATTCTATTCAAGCAAGCCACCACAATGCCAAAGAAGAGGTAAATCTTAGTTAATCTGGTAATGGTTTCTGAAAAAAATTAATGCAAGAGAATGGCAAATTATTTTCTCTTAAACTTCTTATACCCTAATTAAAATATTGTTCATACTGTTTACTATTATTAAAAATATAGGGGCCGGCACTGTGGCCTGGAAAGGTAAGCCTCTGCCTGCAGCTTTGACATCCTATGTGGGCACCAGTTCAAGTCCCAGCTGCTCCACTTCCAATCCAGCTCTCTGCTAATGCACCTGGGAAGACAGCAGAGGATGGCCCAAGTACTTGGGCCCCTGCACCCATGTGGGAGACCTGGATGAAGCTCCTGGCTCCTGGTTCCTGGCTTTAGCCTGGCCCAGCCCTGGCTGTTGCAGCCATTTGGGAAATGAACCATTGAATGAAAGACAGAGATTCTCTCTCCCTCTCTCCCTCTCTCCCTCTCTCCCTCTCCCTCTGGCTCCCTCTCCCTCTCTCTCTTTCCCCTTCCTCCTTTTCTCTCTCTATTTCTGCCTTTCAAATAAATAAATAAATCTTTAAAAACAAGAAATCCATGACAGATGAGAAGTAGCTCTTTGTGAGGTGCCATATTTTATTAAATTTTAAATTTACCTTACTCAGAGTATTTGAGGAAGTTACGAAGTTGCATTCAGGGTAGCAAAAAAGAAAGAAATTAAAACGAAGAAAAACAAAATAAGAATATAACAGCATAAAAACAAATGGTTGGCCGGCGCCGTGGCTCAATAGGCTAATCCTCCGCCTTGCGGCGCCGGCACACCAGGTTCTAGTTCCGGTCGGGGCTCCGGATTCTGTCCCGGTTGCCCCTCTTCCAGTCCAGCTCTCTGCTGTGGCCAGGGAGTGCAGTGGAGGATGGCCCAAGTGCTTGGGCCCTGCACCTACATGGGAGACCAGGAGCAGCACCTGGCTCCTGCCTTCGGATCAGCGCAGTGCGCCGGCCACAGCGGCCACTGGAGGGTGAACCAAAGGCAAAGGAAGACCTTTCTCTCTGTCTCTTTCTCTCACTGTCCACTCTGCCTGTCAAAAAAAAAAAAAATGGTACTGTAGGATGGACTTGTACCAGACAGCATGAGGAGCTCTGCAAACCCGCTCACCAGCAAAACTGCTGAAGATTGTTGGAGAAAAATGACGGGCATTCAGCGCAGTGGTTAAGACACCACTTGGGACGCAGGCAGTACATACCACGTGCCTGGAATAAAGTCTCAGCTCTGATTCTGACTCTAGCTTCCTGCTAACATACACTTTGGAGGGCAGTGGGTGATAGCTCAAGTCCTGGGATCTTTGCTACCCACGGGGGAGACCTGGATTGATCTCCAGACTCCTGGCTTCAGGCTGGTCTGGCCCTGGCTATTGTAGGCCTTTGGGGGACTGAACCAGTGGATGGAAATCTCTCTGTGTCTCTCTCTGCCTTTCAAATATAAAAAATAATGTTTTTAATTATTTAAGAAAAAATTTAAACTCTCCTGAAATGATAAGAGCGTACAGTAAAGCAAAAAACAAACAAAAAATCTGTTCAAGAAAATCTATCAAGCTTCATTAAAAATAGCAAAAGCTTATGGCATTTCAATCCAGATGGGTGCTTTCCTTTCCACTTTGTGCTCAGTGAGGCAGAAATTCCATTCCAGACTAGGACAGACTAGGAAACACTGTGTATCCTCTAGACAGCTGTCTTCCTGGGAGGACCGGACAGGGGTAACTCTCCCCCTGCTTCCAGCTCCTGTCCACACTAGGTTCCAGGTGAGTGCAGAGAAGGAGCGGCAGTCTTCCATGCAGGCCCGCCCGTGCAGTGCAGACTCTGCTGTGAGTACCACAGCACCTAGAATAATCAGGCCTGGTTGCCCTTGCTTCTCCTTATAGAATGGAGTCAAAGGCACATTGAAGAGATGCAAGGTCACTGCCTTCCCTACAGCTCAGAACTGGACAAGTACCCAGTGTAGCCCCAGATCAGCAGTTAGAATATGAAAAGGAAAGGAAGATACATTCGTCGTGGTTAGAGCCATGAACAAGACAAGAAACTCTCTCCTCATGCCAGCCCTGACAGCCACCCCTGCTCCCTAGCCCCACACATTCAACCCCTGGTGACCACTAGTCTGTTCTCCATGACAGAGTGTTACCTCTGTTATTTCAGGAATATTATAGGAATAGGATTCAAAACATATTTTTCTGGGAACGATTTTATTTAGTTTTTATTGTAAAATACATTTATTTAGTTCTCCTACATTCACATAGTGGTTCTCTCATTTATCCAAGCTATATATAATGTAAAATATTATGTTTCATAAAAGATATATTTTCATCTTTCTGTATTGAATCTTTAAAGTTGTTATGAAATCTTAATCTGTATTTAATTTTGGTTGTTTTCAAATGGGAGATAATCTTCATGTACTTATGCTCTTCATTGCTCTGAACTTCTGTGTAAGCTTGCAGAAAATGTTTTTCATTTTTTGTATATGGTTTTATAATTCATTTATAGATTTTATATAATTTTATATATTTTACTCATTTCACACTCTTATATTCCTGTATCTTTATTCTTCTAACTTAAATAAAGGAGATTATAAACATACTTTTTTGTCTCTTTCTTAAAGTAAATAAATTCTGTGTGAAGTGGAAAATGCTCAAATTCCCTATAGTGCCAAAAACAGAATATCAAAATTTTCTTATATTCATTGATGCAAGAGAAAAGTGCTGTGAAAGATATTTAAAGTTCTAATTTATGATATATTTTCCCCATTCTAAATGTATAAAAAGAAAATGAGAAACTTTTTTGAAAAAACTCACTATATCATAAATCATATACAAAATATACCTCATTTTCATGTTTATAACATTGTATTTTCTTTCTGACTCTGTGTTCCATTTCATTAGGTAAACGATGGAGAACATTTATTGAAAACACAGAAAGAATCAAATTCTGATGTGAAAGGTAACATTCTACTTCTTTCTCAGACTAATTCTCTTACTCAAAGCCCCACAGTTTTAAGATTGCCACTGTGCTTAGAGCCAAGGATATTAAGAAGAATATGGTACCAGTTCTTCCCTGTAGGAGCTCATCTTTTAATCCAGAAAGAAAAGCAGGTGCAAGCCAAAAAGAGAAGTTAAATTGTAGACTGTTCTTTTGCTTCTACTGCAACATGCTGAGCCTACCATGAACCTTTAACTGACTCTCCAGCATTTCTGATTTTTTTCTTTTTTTTTTCTTTTAATTTATTTATTTGCAAGGTAGATCTATAGAGACAGGGAGAGACAGAGAGAAAGGTCTTCCACCGCTGGTTCATGCCCCAGGTAGCTGCAAGGGCTGGAGCTGAGCCAATCTGAAGCCAGGAGCCAGGAGCTTCTTCCAGGTCTTCCATAAGGGTGCAGGGGCCCAAGGACTTGGACCATCTTCTACTGCTTTCCCAGACCATAGCATAGAGCTGGATCTGAAGAGGAGCAACCAGTTCTCAAAATGCCTCTGCAGGCAGAAGCTTAGCCCATTATGCCACAGTGCCTGCCCCTAATTTTTTTTTCTTAGCTTCTATCACTTTATGTTCAATTGAGGTCCTTTGGGAAAAAAAAAGCATTGTTGTAAGCAATATTTTAACTATTTAAAAATATTTAATGTTATATGTTTATTGATTTATTATACATTTACACCATACTTGCTTTCCAAAGGGATGTGAGGTAGCCTAACTTTAAAACTACATATGTGTATATCCATTTAGCCTATGATTTAGACAACTAATTAAAAATAGAAATGAAGGCCTGGCGTTGTGGCATAGCAGACAAAGCTGCTGCCTGGGATGCCGCCATCCCATATCGGCTCTGGTTTGAGTCCCAGCCACTCCACTTCATCCAGCTCCCTGCTAATGCACCTGGGAAAGCAGTGGAAGATGGCCCAAGTACTCAGGCCCTTGCACCCTACACGGGAGACCTGGAAGAAGCCGCTGGCTCCTGCCTCCTGGCTTTTGTCTGGTCCAACCCTGGCTGTTGCAGCCATTTGAGGAGTGAACCAGCAGATGGAAGCTTGCTCTCAGATCTGTCTGTCTCTGTGGAGCAGCCGGAACTCAAACCAGCGCCCAAAGGGATGCTGGCACTGCAGGCGGTGGCCACAGCACCAGCCCCCATACACATTTTATATGTAACTTTTATATATGCTTTTGCTAAAATTTAATGTGAAAAGTTAGAAATAAAAATAAGCAAAACAAAGTAAAGATCATGTTTTAGAATATTTACTTTAGAACTTTTTCTATAGCTATATAAATATACTCTGTTGAATCACATAATCATGTCATTTTATAACTTTATTTAAAATTATAATGTATTACAAACCTCTTCATGTTGAATGAATGGCAGCAAAGGACTGCATTCTACTCATGAATCTTAATTTATTTAGCTTCTTCTGTTGATAAACTTTTATTTCATTTATATTTTCCAAAGAAAATGACAGTAAAATACTTATAGCTTTCTATTTGTGTATATTCTTGATTATATCTTTTTAGTAAATTCCTAGAACGGGAATTGCTGGCCCAGAGGTATGAACAGAACTTCACAAGATCTGAAGACTATTTATATTCATTTCATTATGAGTTAATTGCTAGGATTCTTCATTTTGAAAAAAATGATGTAAAATATGAAATGTAAATGAGTCATTGAACTGTTTTCTGCCACTATGTTCCTGTATCATTTTCTCTAGATACAAAGCCAGATGCACCAGATAACTATATGGTTGGTTATTTAAGAAGACCATTGCCGAATCAAGGTTTAGGTGAGTAACCCAGGAACATAGCAGTGAGAGGTCACCAGTCATCTGAATTTGAGAAACGCAGTCATTTGAACTGGGTCAAGATCTACACATAAGAAACTAAGAGGATATCGTAAAGTCAGATAGCCAAGGAACAATTCACATTCCCAAATTCTGAAACCCAAACTTTTCTTTTTCTCTCTAGCTGTATATATACATATTGGAAAATAGTAGAAATGCATTGTATGTTAATTTCATTGACTAATCTTTTCATTTGCATCTCACTAAACTTTTGAGTAGAGATAAAGGTCAAAGAGTACTCTAGTCTTACTTTCTAGTCATTATAGGATCCAAGGTCATCCAACCTTCTACTACACTTGGTGACAAGTAGTTCACTAAATTGCAATACTCTTCATTCCATTGCTAGAGGCCTACAGTACTGAAAAAGTTATTTTTTGAGTTAAAAACATGCAATCTTGTAAATTTCACCAACTTCCCTTAATCTGTCCTCTCTAATTACACAAAACAGGGAAGGGAACTTAAATAAATCTGACTCATTTTCCCCTAATTCACCTTGAAATAATGAGAATAATTTTAGTATTTCCTCTACTTCATAGTTCTTAAATTTTTTTTTAAAGATTTTACTTATTTATTTGACAGGTAGAATTACAAACAGTGAGAGAAAGAGAGAAAGGTCTTCCTTCTGTTAGTTCACTCTCCAGATGGCCACAACAGCCGGAACTGGGCTGATCTGAAGCCAGGAGCCAAGAGCTTCTTCCAGGTCTCCCACGCGGGTGCAGGGGCCCAAGCACTTGGGCCGTCCTCCACTGCTTTCCAAGGCCATAGCAGAGAGCTGGACTGGAAGAGGAGCAATCGGAACTAGAACTGGCGCCCATATGGGATGCTGGTGCAGCAGGCGGAGGATTAACCTAGTGCGCCACGGCACCGGCCCCAGATCTTAAATATTTTTTAAAGAATTTATTTATTTATTTGAAAGAGTTACAGAGAGCAGAGGCAGAGAGGGAGAGAGAGAGAGAAAGAGAGAGAGAGAGGTCTTCCATCCACTGGTTTACTCCCCAAATGGCTTCAACAGTGGCCTGAGCTGGGCCAATCCAGAACCAGGAGCCAGGAGCTTCCTCTGGGTCTTTCACGTGGGTGCAAGGGTCCAAGGACTTGAGCCATCTTCCACTCTTTTCCCAGGCCATAGTAGAGAGCTGGATCAGAAGAGGAGCAGCTGGGGTTGAACCAGTGCCCATATGGGATGCCGGCACCACAGGCAGAGGCTTAGCCCACTATGGCACATCACCAGCCCCCATCTTAAGTATTTTTTTAAAAAGGCTGTCACATGGGACCAACATTGTGGTGCAGTGGGTTAAACCTGCAATACTGGCATCCCATATGGGTGCCAGTTCAAATCCTGGCTGCTCCACTTTCAATCCAGCTCCCTGCTACTGCACTTAGGAAGAGCAGGTGGAGGATGGCCCAAGTGCTTGGGCCCTGCACCCCATGGGAGACCAGGAGAAGCACCTGGCTCCTGTCTTCGGATCAGCGCGGTGCGCCGGCTGCGGCGGCCATTGGAGGGTGAACCAACGGCAAAAAGGAAGAGGAAGACCTTTCTCTCTGTCTCTCTCTCTCTCTCTCACTGTCTACTCTGCCTGTCAAAAATAATAATAATAATAATAATAATGATTAAAGAAAAAATAAGGGCATCACTTATTCCTTGAAAATTTCCTTCCATTTCTACAACCATCTGTATCATATCATTATTCAAGTCTCTATCATACTATGTTTCTCTCTTCTATCACTATTCAAGCTTGAGTGAAACTGAAAACAATATTACAGATACTGTCTAATCAGTACACAATAAATTTGCAGTCCAGTTTGCTTTCTATGTACTAGATTTTCATTAATAGAGCCCAAGATTGTATTTTGTTCTTTTGAAAATTGTCTTAAACTGTTAACATGTTTCTACATATTCATTGTTTTATTTTTGTTAGTTGCTATGGTTTCTCCTCCATTCTCTCTTTCTTCAGTTAATATTTTGGTTTCCGTGTGTTGGACCTTCAATTTATTCCATTTAATTTAATTTTATCAGCTTATTCTTTCTTTGTTGTTTCCAGTGGAAGCATTTTTAAAGACTTTGAGCCAGCTATCTTAAAGAATATCTGCTTTTTAAATGTTAGTGGTATAGGGTGAAAGTACCTCTTTTTTCCCACTGGAGGTGTTATAATTGAGTCTGCTGAAATACACTGACACTAGATCAATAGGAGAAGAAGCTTACAAATGTATTATGTGTATGAGGGTATCACAGGAAAGTAGTACCCCATGACCCAGTGGAGCTTAGAATCATGTATACCTTCTTTCACAGGGAAGAGAGGGTGTAGGCGATTCTAGAGGAAATGATGTGTAGGGGAGCTCTATGGACCTGAGGAACAGATAGTGGCCTAGGATAAATTTCATCTGGGCTCTGGGCACGTGACAGTGCTTGTCTTCCTGCAGTATGCACCTATGTAGAAAGCTGAGTTGACAGTAAATACACATGTTCATTTTTGTTTCATTGATCTGTATGTCAACACTCAGAAAGAGAGGTTTACCTTATGGTGATATTCAGTGTGCTTTAGTCTCTGAAAGCAATGAGCATTTAGTTATGGAGACCACATCATGCATCTGAAGATGCAAAGGGCCTGGTTGACGAGCAACTAGTCTACCAAAAAAAGTCTGCATTGGATGGACATCTTGGAAGAGCTGGAAGATAGTCCCTGCAAATCCAAACATCAACTGCTGTTGACAAGGAAGTGCCAAGTGTTTCCTGCTCCGAGTATCAACTGCTGTTGACAAGGAAGTGCCAAGTGTTCCCTGCTCAAAACATTTTTGTTGACAGGATATTTGACTTGATGCCATAGCAATGACCAGAACCAGGACTTGTATAACGTGGGCTTTATCAGAGATCTAAATGTCAAAAGGAATTTGACATTTGAGTGTATCCTGTTTTACATAAGAGAAAGACAACCTAAAGGCTGCAAGTAGTCAAGAGAAGTGTTATTGGGACAGGAAGAACAGCAAAAATATCCATCCTACTTTATCATAGGACAGAAAAAAACATTTCATTTTATATATATATATATATACACACACACACACACACACACAATAATGTAGCCTGTACAATTTAAATATCCATTACAGAAGCATATCATCAGAGGAGAGATAGAAGAATTAAACATATATTTTATACACATCTGTTTAGTTTGTTCTACTTTTTTTGAAAAATTTTTTTAAGATTTATTTATTTATTTGAAAGAGTTATAGAGAAGAGGTGAGGGGAGAGAGAAGAGAGAGAGAGGAGGGAGAGGAGAGAGAGAGAGGAGAGTCTTCCATCCTCAGGTTCACTCTCCAAATGGCTGCAACAGCCAGAGCTGAGCTGATACGAAGCCAGGAGCCAGGAGCTTCTTCCGGGTCTCCCATGAGGGTGCAGGGCCCAAGGGCTTAGGCCATCATCTACTGCTTTCCCACGCCATAGCAGAGAGCTGGATAGGAAATGGAGCACCCAGGACCCAATCCAGTGCCCAGGTGGGATGCTGGCTCATCACCAGTCCCAATTTGTTCTACTCTTAATTATTACTAATGGCCGCTGTTAACTGGTCCAATGGTTGTCTTGCTTGAACAGTAGCATATATGTAATAAGAAAGCAAATAATATAGAATATATAGATTTAAACACCTATTTTTATATTTTGTGTTAAAATAATAATATTTGTTACATGTTACACTTTTTAAAAAAAAAAAAAAAACTCTGGTTTATCTGTGGCCTAGATTGTTGCTCTAAAGAAGATGGTCACCACAGGGTAAATGTAGATATCCATATATTCACTTCTGAATTGTTTGATAATTATTAGATATTTCTACTGTTTGCTGTTCTCTTGAAACCATTTAATTAAAAGGAGTCCAGGGAAATATACACTCCTATATTCATATTTCATGTGTCTGAATGACACAAAAATTAAGTAAAAATAGGCTCAATTAAGCTGCCACTATATATACAAATGAAGTCATTATCAAGAAAGTAAAAAATAAAGTTTCATTGAAACTGAAAACCTAATTTCCTATATTTTATTGCAAATTTTCTTTTTCAGTAAAAATACCTGGACAAGAATCTTCTTGGCTTCTAAAAAAATATTTAAGGTAGGAGAAGTTGATTTCTTCAACCTGACAACTCCTTTTCCTCTGTCTTACAAGGTTTTAGTCTTCGTTTAAAGCAAAAGTGACTTTATAGTAACCATTGCTACCGGGTGTCTCCTTATTATCTACAAAGTGTCTGCAGCTTGGTCAGTGTACGCTCAAAGTGCCCACAAAGGGCAGGCATTTGCTGCAGCAGTTAAGAAGTTACCTGGGAGGCCGGCGCTGCGGCTCAATAGGCTAATCCTCCGCCTGCGGCACCAGCACACCGGGTTCTAGTCCCGGTTGGGGCGCCGGATTCTGTCCCGGTTGCTCCTCTTCCAGGCCAGCTCTCTGCTGTGGCCCAGGAATGCAGTGGAGGATGGCCCAAGTGCTTGGGCCCTGCACCCGCATGGCAGACCAGGAGGAGGCTCCTGGCTCCTGGCTTCAGATCGGCGCGCAGCGCCGGCTGTAGTGGCCATTTGGGGAGTGAAGCAGCAGAGGGAACACCTTTCTCTCTGTCTCTCTCTCTCTCTCACTGTCCACTCTACCTGTCAAAAAAAAAAAAAAAAAGTCACCTGGGACGCCTACGTCCCATATCATAGTAGTGAACTCAAGTGCTGACTGTGCTTCCAGTTCCAGCTTCCTGCTGATGCACACCCAGGAGGCAGCAGTGACGCCTCAGACACTTGGGTTCCTGGCACCCATGTGAGAGACCCAGAATGAGTTCCCGGTTCCTAGCTTTAGTCTGGCCCAGCCCCAGCTGTTTCCGGCATTTGGGGAGTGAACAAGCAGATAGGAGATTCTCCTCTCTCCCTCCCTCCCTCCCTCCCCTCCTCCCCTTTCTCTGTATTCATCCCATTCATCCCCTCTCTGTCTCTCTGTCTTTCAAATAAATAAAAGAAAATAAGCAAAAATAAAACAAGTGCCCATAAGATATATTTTATGGGTTCTGTGCTTTCAGTATCCGCAAAGGATGCCTTAAAATCTGTAGTTACAGTCATTTCTATGCAATTATCATCATATTGTCTGCATTTCTCTTCTTAAAAAGAAATAGCATATGATAATTATTTAGTGCTTTAGAATTAATGATGCTCAAAGATTTTACTGTCTGCAGTAGCAGTTAGAGCATTGGTCGCTTGGAGATAAAACTACTGTAGTATCTACAAATAGAAAAGGGAAGTCTTAGATAACAGAAAAACTTTGTCTAGTTTTCCTTTTCATTTTTTTTTAAAGATTTTATTTATTTATTTGAGAGGTAGAGTTACAGACAGTGAGAGGGAGAGACGAGAGAAAGGTCTTCTGTCTGCTGGTTCACTCCCCAAGTGGCTGCAACAGCCGGAGCTGCGCTGATCTGAAGCGTCTTCTACTGCTTTCCCAGGCCACAGCAGACAGCTGGATCTGAAGAGGAGCAGCCGGGACTAGAACGGCGCCCATGTGGGATGCCAGCGCTGCAGGCGGAGGATTAACCAGCCCCAGTAGGTTTTCTAAGCTAGTAATTACGTGTCTATTTTGTTCTTGTCAAGTTTCCTTGTCCTTGGGAATAATGACTTGAACAGCTGTCTGGAAAGTGCAGTAGGTAACACTAGGGGCTAAATAATTGAGAATTGATCAGATTTTCCCAACAGAGAAACCCGATGTCCTTCCTTCCTTCCTTGGCTTCTCTTCTGTGAACTTAGTTTCTGTTAAATGAAATGTATTCCAATGAAGGGTATTGACTGTCTTACTCCAGAAACCTAGAAAAATTGGTGTAAGACCAGTATGTGAGGCACTTTGGCCACATCCATACTTGGATCTAGAATTAATAATTTTAAGCTAAGATTTAATTTTTAAAAATATTTGTCATACCCACTGGAAAGAAATCAAATGATATAACAAGACAAGAGAAGGTAACAGAAAAAGTGCTGGGGTTAGAAGATGTAAAATCTAGACCTGCTGCTGTCTCATGAGCTGTGGCATCTTGAGGAAATAATGTAGCCTTCCTGATTCCTCTTAGCAAAGATGAGGATAGAACTGACCGTCCTGGCCGGTGCCGCGGCTCACTAGGCTAATCCTTCACCTGCAGCACCGGCACCTGGGGTTCTAGTCCTGGTTGGGGTGCGGGTACTAGTCCCGGTTGCTCCTCTTCCAGTCCAGCTCTCTGCTGTGGCCCGGCAGTGCAGTGGAGGATGGCCCAAGTGCTTGGGCCCTGCACCCGCATGGGAGACCAGGAGAAGCACCTGGCTCCTGGCTTCAGATCGGTGCAGCACCGGCCGTAGTAGCCATTAGGGGAGTGAACCAACAGAAAAGGAAGACCTTTCTCTCTGTCTCTCTCTCACTGTCTATAACTCTCTCTCTGTCTCTCTCTCACTAATTCTGCCTGTGCAGCCCAACAAGATCAACTATAAAAAAAAGGACTGACCGTCCTGTCCACATTATAGGACTGGTGAGATCCCTGAGTAAGATAATGTATATAAATATGTTGTATACTTTTAGGTGTCACATACCAGTATAACACGACAGGGCGTCATCGTGCAGGGACGGTTCACTGTTGACATTGGAATCAGAGCACTCTCTTTCTTCCAGCTCTGAAAGTACCATCCAAAGTCTTAGGAAAGACCACCAAAGACAGTTTTCAGAACCTGATGAGAGGCCAATCCAGGGAACAGTTCAACCCGAGGGAGCTGATTGGTATGAAAACTGTTTCAGAGTGTCATCCCTGAAGTGTCCCGTGAGCAAGCAAACTTCCAGCTGGACTGAGAAGACAAAGATATCAATAGGTATGTTTTCTTTTTTTAATTGCTTGGGAATGCAATAAGTATATGTTTTTCATTATCTTATTATTAGCAAGCCCTATGAAATCTTTTTTTAGATTTATTTATTTATTTATGAATGGAAAAGCAGAGTGACGGAGGGAGGAGAGGGAGAGAGAGAGAGCTTCAATTTGCCGGTTCACTCCCCGAATGGCCGCAACAGCCAGGGCTGGGCCAAGCCAAAGCCAGAACCAGGAGCGCCATCCTGGCTGTGCATAGAGGTGGCAGGACTGCCTTCCAGCACATCAGCAGGAAGCTGGATGTGTAGTGAGCAGCAGGGACTCAGCCTCGTGCTCCGACAGGGGAGCTGGCCTCGCAAGTGGCAGCTAGTCCTGCTGCCCCACAATGCCAGCTCTCCTGTGAACTACTTTTGTAAACAAGGGGAATTGATAGCCTTTTCAGTTCTGTCTCAAAAATTACTTGTCTTGTTTAATCTCCATAGGAGTTGAATATAGAACAAAACTATTTGTTTGATATAGGCTTGAAAAAAGAATTGTCTTGGCAGTATCTTCCTATTATTGATGCTTTTCACTCTCAACACTATCCCCCAAGGAAGTAAAAGGACACGCCATCACCATATTCTAGCAGGTCCTGCCCTCTGCACCTGAGGTTTTCAGTTGGAAACCATCTTTGGCTTCTGCGTTTTTAGATTTGGCCCTAGCGGAAGGCCGTTGTAGTTCATGTTTCTGTCTTGGGATGTGCCTGTAATGAAGTTCCTCTCCAGAGGTCAGGGGAGATTGTTCAACCCTGATTCCCGCAAGGTAATCTGTTGTAGTTTAAAGTACAGTAGTGAGGCTAAGGTCAAGTTCACTTGCTTCAACTCAGTGATTGCTTGAATCACACCTGCCTACCTCAGTGAGCCGTGATGATCATTCAGTAAGTCTCAGAAACTGGACTCCATGGAAACTGTGCTTATCGTGATATTTCCTTTTCTTTTTTTTCCTCTGGAATAAATTAGCATTTTTATTTATCTTCCTCATATTGTCTTATAAAGAAACAGAGCCACTCTCTTCATTAATTCTTGAAAAAGTTATCTCAAGATAACCATATGGAGTAATTGGTCAAATAGAGTAATATTGACATTTTAAATAAATGTTTAAAAAAATCATATTCACTTAGATTCTCAATTTCATATGGCTATGCCAAGCTAATAAACTATTTCATGAAAGTTTAAATTTCACCCAGAGGAGACTGCTGTGAGTGTTAGGGAACCGAATGTTAGAAACAGCTAAGAGTATTTTCAGTGTTGAAACTTTTTACGATTTTACTAGCCATTTGAATGTCTCTTCTGAGCCGTCACTTGAAATGTGTTTGACTTTTCTATTAAAGTCTTAATCTTCATGATTTATAAAGGTGACTGACATATTAAGACTGTTAATCCTCTCCTTGTCATAAGTTTTTATAGACACTTCCCCTAAGTTCTATTTTATCTAGCATATTTTTATATGTATAATTTCTTTGATTGTCTTTACTTATTTTGGTCTCTTTTGTGGGTTTCTTTTTACTTCGTTGTTCTAAAGCTTGTAATAGCTTATCCCATTTCCAAATAATATAAATAATCATCTATTTGCCTTTTAAATAGCCATATTTTAAAAATTGTGGTCACGTGTTGTGAGCAGTGTATTAAGCTGCTTGTGACAACCATGTCCCACATTAGAGTGTTGGTTGGAGCCTTGGCTACTCCAGTTCTGATCCAGCTTCCTGTTAGTGTGTCTGGGAAGGCAACAGATGATGGCTGAAGTGGTTGGGTCCCTGCTACCCTCATGGAAGAAGTTCTGTGCCCCAACTATTGTGAACATTTGGAGAGTGAACTAGCAAATGAGACTATCTCATCTGTGAGTCTATCATCCGTCTCTCTCTCTTCCTCACTATTACTCTTTTAAATAAATAAATCTTTTTTTAAAAATTTAACCTTTGTTTCACACTGTAGCAAATAATTAACTCAAAATGGATCATATTCCCTTTGACCGTATTTATTTATTTTATTTTATTATTTATTTATGTGGGTTCTCTCGCTCTCCTTCTCACACATACACATGCACACACAATCACACACACACACACATACACACACACACACCCCACTAGTTGGTGAGCTCCTTGAGAGCTAGGATTTATCTCTGTTTTCAGCACCAAGGATATGGCATGGAACATTAGAAGATACTCAATTGTTTGTTGAATAAATAAGTGACATGGATTTTAGCCAAAAAAATAAGTGGATCATAGATCTAAATATCAAAGATAAAATTTTCTAATTCATAGAATACAGGTTATAAAAAGCCTTTGTGATGTTGGACTAGGCAAAGATTCCTTAAATAGCTCTCAAAAACATTAAATCAAGAAAGAAAAAAAATGTACTTCATCAAAATCAGTTTCCTTAGAAGTCACCATTAAGAACATTAAAATGGGCCGGTGCCATGGCTCACTAGGCTAATTCTCCGCCTGCGGCACCAGCACCCCGGGTTCTAGTCCCGGTTGGGGCACCGGATTCTGTCCCGGTTGCTCCTCTTCCAGTCCAGCTCTCTGCTGTGGCCCGGGAAGGCAGTGGAGGATGGCCCAAGTGCTTGGCCCTGCATCCGCTTGGGAGACCAGGAGAAGCTCCTGGCTTTGGATCAGCACGGTGCGCTGGCTGCAGCAGCCATTTGGGGGGTGAACCAACGGAGAAGGAAGACCTTTCTCTCTGTCTGACTCTGCCTGTCAAGAAAAAAAAAAAAAAAGAACATTAAAATGCATAGCACATATGGGAGAAATGTTTGAGAAATGTTTGTAAAATGTATATCCAATAAAGGATTTAACTATATCCAGTAAAAAACTTTATAATATATAAGGAGCTGCTAAAATTTAATAATGTGGCAAACAATCTGATTTTAAAACTAGGAAAAATATTTGAACACTGATGGAAAAAATAGATATATGAATAGTTAATAAGTATATGAAGACATGTTCAACAACATTAATTATTAGGGAAATGCAAACTAATTTCCACAATGAACTACTACTACACAAACTACAACAATATCTAAAATTTACAAGACTGACAATGCCAAGTGTTGGCAAGGATTTAGAGCAACTAGAACTCAAATGCATTGTAGTTGGAAATTTGAAAAAGTATAATCACTTTGGAAAAGTGTGTCTTAAAATTTGACATATCAACATTTTCCTACTGTGTGACTAGAGTACTAAAAGTTATTCACCCAATTGAAAGCATATGTTTACATATTTTTATGTTTATGTTAATATCAGCTTTATTTCTAGTACACCCAAATGGAAATAACCCAATATCCCCCAACAGATGATATGGTGTTTCCACACTAGGGAATAGAAGGCCCATGAACACTGGGCAGTAGCTGAGCCACTGCTCTGGATGCCAGAGGCCCGTATCAGGGTGACGTTTGAGTCCCGGGTGCTCTGCTTCCAATCCTCTTCACTGCTGGTGTCTCCTGGGGCCATGGATAATAACAACTCAAGTGCATGGGCCCCTGCCATCCACACAGGAGGCCCAGAGGGTTGCAGGCTCCTGGGCTCAGCCTGGCTGGGCCCTGACTATTGTAGGCACTTCAGGAGTGAACCAGTCGATGAAAGATAACTTGGTCCCTCCCTCCTCTGTGTGTATGTGCATGTTTGTGTGTGTGTATGTGTGTGTGTGTCATCCTCTCTATCTCTCTCTCTCTCTCTCTCTCTCTCACACACACACACACACACACACACCAGAAGCCACTGGGCAGAAACATCCTCAAGTTTTCACCATCCCCCTACCAGGATTAAATTTGGCTCCTTTCCAACATCCTTTCTTAAGCAGAGGAGTTACTATCCCTTTAAGATTAATCTTTCCCCTTAAGCAGAGGAATTACTATCCCTCATGCCCATCAATATCCTCACAGACATAATTCTATTAACCTCACTCTCACCTTCCTCAAAATATACTCAGCACTTCACTTCCTCAACTGTATACCTCTTGGCTTGCTGAAATCTGGCTACTGGCACCATCCCGATAAAATGACTATTTCCAAAGCCATCAGTCCTTATGATATGAGTACTGTTCCCAGAGCCTTTTAAGCCCTCTGTCCCTTGATCATTGAGCTACTTGACAGACATGTCTGTGGCACTACTCCACCTTGATTTACTACTGATTCTCCAGCCTTTCATGAAATAGGTGATGAGATGTGTGAAGAGGGGCCCACGTGAGACATCACTTGTACATAACTTTTAAAGTGTGAGGCAAGCATGTGGCCTAGCCGTTAGGACGCCTGTGTCCCACCTCAGAGTGCCTGAGTTCAGTACCCTGTTCTGCCTCCTAACCCCAGCTTCCTGCAGGACCTTGGGGGGCAGCCGTGATGGCTCAGGTAATCAAGTTCCTTCCATCCGTGTGGAAGACCTGGATTGCGTTCTAGCATTTGGCTTTGGCCCCAGCCGGAGACCACAGTGGGCACTTGAGGAACGAACCAGTACATGGGGCTCTGTCTCTCTCTTTGTCTCTCTGCTTTCCAAATAAATAAATAAAGTTCAAGTTTTAAGTGGGTTCCTCCCTAGGACTCCATCCTTTTTCTCTCTTCTCACCACATACTTTACTTCTGAGCCCGTCACCCATATCTGTAGCTTCAGCCAACGACTGCTCACTATCGCATTTTAATCTTCAGACTAGGCCTCTCTTGAATCCCGTGCTCACCTGCCTACGGGGTCTCTCCATTTGTTTCGCCCCACTGTCCTTCTGTTCTGCTCACTGTTCTTCTCTCCCTCCTGCATTTCGTGTTCCTGTCACTATGCTGCCAGCATCCAGTTACGTAAGTGACAATCACAAGATTTACCCTAAGCCTCTACATGTCTGCTCTTGCCGTCCAACAGTGAAGCTCTGTGCACTCTGTCCCCTCAAGGTGTGCTGCATCTGCCTCTTCATTGTAACGCCCCCACTCTAGTTCAGGTGCTCCCTTGAAACTCTGAGCTTTGCCTCCCTTGAATCTGCGCATTGGCTTCCTACCTTCTCTCCCTGCCCCATGTGTCATTTTTCTCCACCAGTTTTCCTCTGGATGCCAGTGTGGTCTCTGAAAAGTGCAGAGCTGATTATTTCATTTCCCTGCATAAAATCTCCAATGGCCCTCCAGCTGTTCAGTTCAAAACACATTCACTAACCATCTACGAGTCATGATTCATTCCTGTCTCAGTCACTCAAAAGTGTTATTACTGCAAACAAGGCCTCTAATTGTTCACACTTACCTGACATTCTAGTCACTTTCAACTGTATTTTTGAGTTCCCAAATGTGATTTATTTGGGCCAGCGCCGTGGCTCAATAGGCTAATCCTCCACCTGCGGCACCGGCACCCCGGGTTCTAGTTCTGGTCGGAGCACCAGATTCTGTCCTGGTTGCTCCTCTTCCAGTCCAGCTCTCTGCTGTGGCCTGAGAAGGCAGTGGAGGATGGCCCAAGTGCTTGGGCCCTGCACCCCATGGGAGACCAGGAGAAGCACCTGGCTCCTGCCATTGGATCAGTGCGGTGCACCGACTGCAGCGGCCATTGGGGGGTGAACCAACAGAAAAAGGAAGACCTTTCTCTCTGTCTTTCTCTCTCACTGTCCACTCTGCCTGTCAAAAAAATAAAATAAAATAAAGTAAAAAGATATATCTATTTGAAAGTCAGAGTTACGTAGAGAGAAGGAGAGGCAGAGAGAGAGAGAGTTATTTCCATCCACTGGTTCTCTCCCCAGTTGGCTGCAATGGCTGGAGCTGCACTGATCCGAAACCAGGAGCCAGGAGCTTTTTCCAGGTCTCCCACACAGGTGCAGAGGCCCAAGCACTTGGGCCATCTTCCACTGCTTTCCCAGGCCATAGCAGAGAGCTAGATCGGAAGTGGAGCAGCCAAGACTAGAACCGGCACCCATATGGGATGCCAGTGCTGCAGGCGGTGGCTTTACCCGCTGTGCCACAGCGCCGGCCTCCCTTCTTTTTCATTTAGCTAACTTGTTCCCATTCATCAAAACTTAGCTTAATTATACAAGAATTTGGAAATTTCTTTGCCAATACCCACCTCCCCCACCATATAGGTATGGCTTGAGGTTTCTCTTCTGTGGTCCTGTAATGAGTGCTCTGACTTATCTCTGTAGGAACAGAGTCTAGTACTTCACTTTTTTCTCTCTAGGCCTAACTCGTGGAATACTGATGGCAAGGACTTGGCTTTTCTTGTCTGTTTACCAATGCTAACATAGTGCCAGATGCATAATAAACATCCAGTTAGTGTTGGCTGAGTGGCCTAGGAATGGTTGTCGCGAAGTTGGGGATAAATTCACTTCATTTGCCCGCATTGCTAGATATTATAATCATACACACTTCTGGACTGCAGTGTCTTCCAGGTTCAGTTGAATTCGGTGAGTGCTTTAGTCACCTGTGTACTCTCCTTTTAAGAATGGACAATTCCACTAAAACAAATAAGCAAAAAACTGTAAAGATGTTCAAATGTAAACACGAGTGGAGAGATTAGAACCATGAAACACAGATGCTCATCACCCACCCTATCACCCTGCTATTCTTGTTCATCTGTATCCCTACCACTATTTTCCCGGAAGTGTTTAAAGCAGATCCCACAGGTCACATTGTTGTGCCCATAAGTATTTCAGTATATACCTCTAAGTAACTACTTTCTTTAACAATGCACGCGGTTTCTTGCTGTTATTCTACACGTAGTCTACCTTTTCTTGTGCTCTCCACATGCCAATTCAGGAACTGTAACTGTAAACAGTTCTGCCATACCCTTTAAATATCTGACAGCGGGCCTTCCTTCAGGCTTTTCTTAGAGCTTTTACCCCTTTTTCTTCTTGATTTTATTAATTTTTTTAAATTGTGGTAAAATTGGCCGGCGCCTCAGCTCACTAGGTTAATCCTCCACCTGTGGCACCAGCACACCGGGTTCTAGTCCCAGTCAGGACGCCGGATTCTGTCCCGGTTGCCCCTCTTCCAGGCCAGCTCTCTGCTGTGGCCTGGGAGTGCAGTGGAGGATGGCCCAGGTGCTTGGGCCCTGCACCCCATGGGAGACCAGGAGAAGCACCTGGCTCCTGGCTTCAGATCAGCACAGTGTGCCAACTGCAGTGGCCATTGGGGGGTGAACCAACGGAAAAAGGAAGACCTTTCTCTCTGTCTTTCTCTCTCACTGTCCACTCTGCCTGTCCAATAAAAAAAGAAAACTTGTGATAAAATTACGTAACACAAAATATGCCATTGTCATTATTTTTAAGTATTAAGTACATTCACAGTGTTGTGCAAACAGTCCCCAGAACTTTTCTGCTTCTACAACAAACTCCATGCCCATTCAGTAGCCCTTCACTTCCTCCCTCCAGCCGCTGGAAACGGTCCTCTGCTTTTGTGTCTGTGACTTTGTCTCTTCTAGGTACTTTATATAAATGGAGTCAGATATTTGGAAAACAAATATCGTATTTGGTTTTTTTTTTTTCTCATTGGGCTTATTTCATATAATATCATATCCTCAAGGTGCACCTGTGGTAGGGCATGTGTCAGTAATTTATTTCCTATGTAGGCGTAAGTACCAGCCCACTCTGCGGCTTGACCCCATTTTGTGTCTCCATCTGTAGATGACACTTGGGTTGCTTCCACCTTACAGCTACTGTGTCTGGTGTTGCTGTGAGCACAGCTGTACACCTGTCTCCTTGAGACCCCCGCTGTGAGCACGGCTGTACATCTGTCTCCTTGAAACCCCTGCGGTGAGCACGGCTGTACACCTGTCTCCTTGAGACCCCCGCGGTGAGCACGGCTGTACACCTGTCTCCCTGAGACCCCCGCTTTCAGTTCTTTCAGTTCCTATAACCAGAAGTGGAATTACTGAAAGCCACTTGGAATCATGTGGTAATTCTATTTTGAATTTTTAAAGGAACTACCATACTATTTTCCACAGAGACTATGCCATTTTACAGTCTCATAAACACATGTGATTTTCTGGTTGTTTTTTGTTGTTGCTGCTTTGTTTTGTTTTGTTGAATTTTTTTTTTTTGGTTTGGGTTTGGGGTATGTTTCTGTTTTTGAATTTTGGATAGCAGCTATCCTAATAGGTATGGGATAGAATAAATACTTTTTAAAAGTGTTATTTTATCTAGTGTCATAATTAACAAATAATAAAACACTTCACATCATCTAATGAAAAATAAATTTTTCTAACCTAATCCTCTCATAGTCTTCCCCTATCTCATTCAGAAGTCAGGAAGTTTGGATCTACCATTGATTCCTCCCTTCTACCTCACATCTAATACCTTAGAAAATCCCACAATATATCCGAGACCTCCCCTCTCCCTAGAATTTCCATTCTTCAAGCCAAGGTCACCATCCTCACTTCCAGGTTATTTCAACCCTTCAAGATGTCTCCCTGATTGTCTACCCTTGCCCCTCTTCAATCTCTTCTCAACTCAGGGTCCCGTATGATACTTGTAAAACAAATCTGTGACAGTCCTCCACTCAAAGCCTTCCAATGTTTCGCCATTATACACTCCGTAAAAATTAAAGTTCTTACAGTAGCCTATGGGCCCTATATGAGCTGAGTCCCAGGTTACCTGACTGAACTCACATAGCTTTCTCCTTAGTTCATTCTGCTGCAGCCACTAAGCCCATCTTGTCTCGCACACACCACTGTGCACCTACTTGCCTTTACTGTCCCTCCTACCTGTAATGACATCTCCTCTGATACCTGCTTGGCTCACTCCCTAACTCCTGTGATGTGTCCGCTTCACAGGGAAGCCTCCTCCTAACTCCGTCCTAAAAACAGAGATCAGTTCACCTAAGAATTCTCTGTTCCCCTCGATTGCTTTATTTTATATTGTAAGCTTCACAGTTTACTTGTTTATTTTCTGTCCACTGTCATTAAAGTGTAAAGTTCAGATGGGCAAGAAATTTCAGCGTAAACCCTTAGCATACAATAATGCATTATAAATAATTGTTGAATGAATACAGTGCACGTATACCTACACATATCTTTACGGTTGCTCCTCAGACCTGCGTCACAACTTGAAAAACAGAATGAAACATTGCACATCTCTCCCAAGCAAGAAGACTGACACAAATTGGACTGATGATGAAAAAGGATCCTACAGGGACAAGAGAATAGCTCAAAGTCAAGAAACACTGCAGTATCTGCTCCCTGTCGTGGAAAGCACTAGAACTGTGCCACCTCCTCAGTTAAAACAGCTCCTCAACCCAGGACCCAACATCCCAACCCAACATCAGTAAGTCAACAGCGTGTTTTCATCCTTAGCTCTTTAAGACATTGTTATAAGGAAACGGACTTACTGATTCAGTATCCTGAAAAACAAGTGTAGGCTCTTAAAAATGGTGTCAGCTATACCCCATCTGACCAAGGGACCAAGGCCCTAAGAAAACACGGGACGTGTGAAGAAGCGCATGATCAGCCCTTGTTTGATTGGTTACTTGTATGGAACGACTCATTCATTTGAATCTGTGAATAAAGTCGGCACCAATAAAATGTGATCATCTCACTTAAAATATTGCAGGTGTTTTTAAACCTAATAATCCTAGGGGCAGCAAAAATTAGAAATAATTAACTTAAGGACTTAAGTTTATTGATCCTCATAGGAAAGAAGAAAAAGTGAAACCAGATTTCTTTTAAAAATAAAAAAACCATCTTTAAAGACAAAAAGAAACCAATATAGATAAAAGTGAAGATAGCAACAAGTAAATACATATAATAAGTACTTTCTGTGTTACACTGTTTACACAGCCATTCTTCGGTGTCTGTGGTTTCTACATCAGTGAATTCAGCCAACCACAGATCTACATGAATTTTGGATCCACAGTTGGTTGAATTCGTGGATGTAGAATTCATAGATACTGAGGACTGACTTGTGCATCTTACATTTGACACATGAGGAAATAGAAATATGAAAAGTTACATAAGTTGTCCATAGTCACACAAGGTAGAAGAACCTGGATTTGAACCCAGCTAGACATTCTGACTCCAGAGTTCTGAACTCCGTCATTATGCTTTGCCACTTACCTTTACCATACAGGTGAGAAACAGATCCAGTCTTCTTAATATACAAAGAGTACTTCCAGTTGTGAATATTTTTAAAGGAGAATGGCCAAAGGCTATGAATAAGAAGTCACAAAGGAAAACCGTGGTCACCGAACATGTGGAGACGTTTGCTCTTGGGACAGGTTATGCAGCAGGTTAAGCTGCGCTTGCAGCTGTGGCATCCCCTACTGGAGTGCCGGTGCAAGTCCTGGCTGCTCCGAGCCTGGTGCAGCTCCCTGCTACTGTGTCTGGGAAAGCAGAGGAAAACGAGATAAGTCTTTGGGTCCCTGCCACCCATGTGAGTGACCTGGATGGAGTCCCAGGAGGCTTTGGCCTGGCCCTGCCCCAGGTGTTTGTCCCCAGGACATTTGGGGAGTGAACCATGGGATAGAAGAACTCACACTCTCTCTCTCCTGTCCCTCACTCTTTGTCACTTTGCCTTTCAAATAAATAAAATGAATATTATAAAAAGTCAATCTCACTTAAATCTAGAGTACAAATTAAAACAATGATGAAACGCCATGTACTTTTGCTTGTCCGTGGAAGAATTTATTAAATGATTGTGGGAATATAAACTAGTACAGTTTCTGGAAGGCAATCCAATATTATAAATAAAAACCCTTACAATCATATATTCATTGTGACTAAGAAAATCCACTGTTGGAAACTGATCATAAGTCATAAGTTAAAAAAAGAAAACCTCGATAAAGGCCGAAACATTCTTGTAGAGTTGTGTTCATTTCATTATTCTTTTATTGTAACAGTCAAAATAAGAAGAGAATAACCTAAATGTTCAACAATATAAGGTTGCCTAAATAAATTATAATATATCCATTAAATGAGATATGTAGCTATTAAACACCATGTGTATTAATTAGCCTGGATTGATGCTTAAAATATATAAATATATAAGCAAATAAAAACAGGCACAGAACAGTTTCATTTGGTATATCTGCTTATTATCAACACAAACACATATATACCTAGGAAAAACTCTAGAAGCACACATCCCTAACAACAATTTCCTCTGAATAACTAAGGTATTGGTAGAGGAAGATATTCCTCTTCATGGTTTTTTTTTCTTGAATGTTTATTGATGGTTATTTCCTCGTTGTATAATAAGCAGCATCAAAACAATTATAAAACGAGGCAGTTGTTGACAATTTCTATGGAGTGGGGTAGCTGTCCTGCTGGGGAGAGGCAGTTAAGTCTCAAAGGTCACCAGCAGGAGAGAAACGGATGGACAGTGTAGGCCCAGGCAGACAAGATCATGGACCAGAAAATTCTCAAATCTGGAGACTCATAACAAGATACAGTAGACCTAGGCAGAGAGACCAAGAAGAAATCATGGAGTTAGGCAAGGGGCCTGGGGGACAAGTAGGACAAGACCTTATTTGTATTTGTTACTTTCATAAGTAATTCTTTCTATGCTTTGAACCCAGAAATGTACTCAGTGTGGATTGGCCTGAGCCTAAAGGCATAGACAAATAATTGATTATGTCAGTTAAGATCTGTTTGTTTACAACCAAAAGAAACCAGCTGAAACTAGTTTAATCAAAAAGTGCAAGGTAAGGGTAGTGAGGAAGGCTTATACAAGGTTACTCATGGAAACAGGGGTGAAGGAATTCAGCCAGGCTTCAGGAGAGCACTGGAAGTGGAGAGAGAAAATCTAAGGACCCCCTAGTCCTCCATCTCTGTTCTTCCTTTCTCTGCAGAGAAGTTGTCACGTCCCTTAGATCACAAAGCTGCATCCTACAGCAGTCTCACTTACAAGACTGATTCAGTATCTCTCATTCCTAATTCTAAATTACAGGGAAAGATAACCTGATTGGAACCAGGCCAGGGCATAGAGGTCACGTATTTGCAAACACAGCTGTTGGAAGCCCTGCCCTTGTGTATCTAGACAGTTCTCAGAGAAGGTAACCCTCAGAGAATCTACTGTAGACAGACATGGAAATACTAAAAAGGAGCAAAGGAGCAAGAGAGACCATTCCAGCAGGTGTCCCCGCTGCTTACTGAAACATGAGTGAGCTGCCGTTCTTGCCCTTACGACTTCCTTCTTCACGGCTGCGTTTCCTCTTTATACCTCTGCCGTCTGACTGGCTCGGCTCTCTACGGACCATTACTGTAGTACCTGCTCGCGGAGTGCAAGGAGACGTGCAGAATGAGCTCACGCCTCTGCTGAGTCATTTTGAACATGACTCCCAGCTTGGACTCAGGAGAGACCGGTGCATGTGATCTAAGCTTGCCACATTACCGTACGGAAGGACTTAATATCCGAATTTGCTAACAAGATCCTGTTCATTACTTACAAAACAAACAGGATAACTCCAAAAGGTGGAGAAAAGAAGGCCAACAAGGTGGGACTAAGAGACCCTGGGAACAACTTAGTGGTGAGTCACCTGGGTTGTCTTTTTCCCTCATCTGTGTACGACTTGGAGGTGAAAGAGCCCACGACCTAGAAACACCAGTGGGCACACAAATTCCAACAAAAGCCTGAGCCAGATCAGCAAAATACCAGGAAAATGACGGCCTTCCAAGATAGAAAAGTTTTAGACAGTAATCATTCTGCTGCATCCCAACACCACAAAGAAACAGGTCCCATTCCCACCCCGTAAGCAGAAGCAAAGTGAGGGATCTAGACGTCTGCTTTCAGGAAGTGTAATGAGACATCCCAAAACCTGTGCTGGGGAGGTAGCAATAGACCTTGTCCCCACTAGGTTATAAGGAACACTCCCCCAACTAGTGTCACTGGAAACCTAGAGTAAACCAGAGGATGGAAGATCCATCTATATCTCTGTATCTCTCTCTCTCCCTGTTACTCTGCCTTTCAAATAAATAAGTAATTTTTTTAAAAGTACTGATGAGGTAGACGTGTGGGCTAGCGGTTAAGATGCCAGTTAGGGCACCCGCACCCCCCCATCACAAAGTCTGGGTTTAATTTTCAGCTCTAGCTCCGGTTCCAGCTTCCTTCTAAAGCAGGAAGAATGCAGCAGTGATAGCCCAAGTAACTGAGTTTCTGCCACCCGCCCGGGAGGCCTGGGTGGGCTTTCCAGCTCCCAGTGGTGGCTGGCCCAGACCTGGCCACTGCAGCCATCTGGGGAGTGAGTCGGTGGGTGGGAGCTTTCTCTTCCTGCCCCGCCACGATAAATAATCTAAAATACTAATAAAACAGCTCTACTTGCACTCCATTCCTGTTAGCATTTCAAATGTTTTATGTTCTATTTTGTATCTTGCTGCATTATCTATCTCTTAACATCTCAATGTGGCTATTATTTTTCAATGTTTTGGCCTTCATACTGAAGCTAGGAGCGGTTTGTGTCAAAAGCATTCTGAGCCTGTGTATCACCCTCACCAGTGAGCCTCACACCCGGATTATCTCCGCTGGGCTCAGCAGCCCCTCTCTCTCTCTCTCTCTCTCTCTCTCTCTGAAGAACCCTCTTTGGCATTTCCCACAGGGCAGGTCTGCTGGTGACGAGCCCCTCAGCTTGTCTATTTCGGGGAAGGTCTTTATTGCCATCATATCTGAAGGACAGCTTGCCAGGCGCAGTCTTCTTGATTGAAAGTTTGCTGCCTTCAGCGCTGTGAAGCCTGAGACCTCTCTCTTCTGGCCTGTAAGGTTTCTTCTGAGACGTATCTATCAAGTGAGTTAGGACACCCTCATACGTTATTTATTTTCTCTTGCTACTTTGAAAATCCTCTTTTCATTTTTAACTTTGTGGAACTTTATTATAATGTCTTTGGTTAGGTCTGGTTGAAGTGAATCTAACTGGTGACCTTTGATCTTCCTGTTGTATCTTTCTCTAGGTTCAGAAAGTTTCTATTATTATTCTCTTTAAAATGAATTCTCTGTCTTTAAGATTTATTTATTTGAAAGGCAGAGTTGTAGAGAGAGAGAGAGAGAGGAAAAAAAAAAGAGATCTACCATCTGCTGGTCCACTCCCCAATGGACATGGCTGGGCCAGGCTGAAACCAGAGGCCACGAACTCCATCCCGGTCTCCCTCAGGGGTGGCAGGGCCCAAATACGTGGCTCGTCTTCTGCTGCTTCCCCGGGTGCATTACCAGGGAGCTGCATCAGACACTGAGCAGCCTGGGCTCAGCCTGCCCTCGTACGAGATGCCGGCATCGCAGGTGGTGGCTCAACCTGCTGTGCCACGACACGGGCCCTAAGTTAAGGGCTCTACCCCTCTGCA